TTATTATCATTGTACTTTTTTTTTATTATTATTTGCAGAGGTCCTGTGGGTCTTTATAAAGTCTTAAGTATTAAATTAGATTTTTACAATTTAAGGTCATAAAAAGTCTTAAATTTGAGAGGTCTTAAATTTTGCATCAAGGTGTGACATTTCTACTGAATTTCATTCGCTGATGTTTATTTTACTTGTGCACAATTATTCTTAAGCCTTGTGTGCTGTTGAGAATATTAATTTGGAGACAGATTTCTTTGTTTGAGCTCATGAAAGTGAGACTTTTGCACACATTGTTTTGAAAGTTGCTTATTTACATTTTTTCAGACATATAGTAAACATAGGAAGTGTATTTATGCACACATACACACACACACACACACACACTATCATTTACTGTTTATACTCCAAAGAACTCAAAAAATATAAAAGCCAGAAACTTTTTTGCACAGGACTATCTAAATGGTTATGCTGTCAACTGATCATCAACAGTAAAAATGACAAAATATACATTTACCAAAAAGGGAAGATAACCAGCAACAATGCGTGATTACATGCTGTCATGGATTTGCATCCAAAAAATGTTTTAATGGAAGTCAATGGGGCAAAAAAAACAGCAACTAACATAAGGAAAGGGTAGTAAATTTAAATAATACAGAAGGGTTAAGGTGAACAATTGTGACCGGGTATATTGATATACAGTGGGTCCGATCAGAAGGTATTTCCACATTCAAGTGGCCAAATCTGTGGTTTTCAAGCCTTAAACCTTGGGTAATATTATTTAAATAATATTGCTCCTTGACATTATATTTAGTTTTCAACATATTACTGTATTGTTTGCCTTTCAATTATTTTTTCCAAAATTATTTTTAGTTAGTCTTAAAAGATCTTAAATTTACCCTGATAAAACCTGAATAAACCCTGTAAATAATTGTGAAGAAGTCGTACTTGCAGATCATGCACAAATATATATACGCCAATATGCAATCATAAATGATTGTTATAATATTTCACAGGTATCAATGTGGGTGTGGGGAGGGCCGTTAAGGTTTTGGTTTTATTTACATTTGATTTCTTCTGACTTTTTACAAAATATGTTTCAAAAACAATGTCTAATAATGGTTTCTTTTTATTTAAATATAGGGCAATCAAAAAGAAGAATTTTTGAAGGACCTGACAAACACCGCCATGGCCATATGTGTCATCAAAAAGGAAAGAGGAGATTATGAGGACATTGGCATCGTTGTGGATGGAACAGTGATTATTGAACAGATAAAATCTGTTGCACAAGCCTGTTCACTGATGTTGGGGGCAATTTATGTGCTTGATTTGGCCTACCCAAAAGAACTCAAATACTATTACGAGTTTGCCCAAAAAGTACTTGTGCAAATGAACTCTGACAAGCTCTCCTCAAAGGTTCTCATACTGGAAAACAGTGTGATACTGTAATTTTAAGCATTGAAGTGTTAATAAATGCTCAACAACCAAATGTATATCATATACAAATTGCAGTTTAGTGTAGGAATTGTTTAATAAGTGAATTCAGTTTTCTTTGTGTGGAAAATTAATTAGCTGTAGGAACTTGTTTTAAATGGTGTGCGCATGTGTGTGTGTGTGTGAGAGAGAGAGAGCATGTGCATTCTATAAACTTTGTATTTATTCCATTTCATACAACTTGTAGTTGCTCAATTTGTTAATGAGTTAATTTTTTAAGTTAATTAGTTGATTATTTTGTGTATTGGGGTGTGTGTGTGTGTCATAAGGATTGCCGTTTGCTCCAAGACTTCATACAGTTTTCTTTTATGTGTTGGTTTAAATTAAATGTGCTGTACAAACTGTTTATTGTGTTATGGTGTGCTGCTAAAGCATTTTTTGGCAGTGATTTATGTTTTGTTAAAAAAATGCATCTTAAAAGGTCATTAAAATGAATTCAAAACAAATGTGATCAAGTGTCATTTTAAAGTGTATTTGCAAGCAATTTAATGATCATTTTAGACATCAAAAATAAATAGATATAAGTAGGAATAACAATTAAATTATAGTGAACTAAATGAATTTCATTAGATAAATGTAACTAAATAAAATTGATTAAATCCAACTTATTTTGATTGTTTAAATCCAACACATATAAATTGAGTAAATCCAACCTAATTTGATTGTTTAAATCCAACACATATAAATTGAGTAAATCCAACTAAAATTGTTTGCTTAAACTTAACCCAATTCAATTATTTGCAACAGCTTGCCTTAAAAAAATTAAGTAAATCCAATGAATCATTTTTTTCAGTGTAGGTGAATTGAATAAGCAGAATTGGGCGTAGTGTATGAGTGTGTGTGTGAATGCAAGTGTGTGGGTGTTTTCTAGTGTTTGTTGTGGTTGGGAGGGTATCCGCTGCAGAAAACATGTGCTGGATAAGTTGGCGGTTCATTCCGCTGTGGTGACCCCTGACGATTAAAGGGACTAAGCCAAAAAAAAAATTAATGAATGAATATTAAAATAAAACTAAACTCAAACATCCATGCAGCATACCAGCGTAATATTTTTTTTATTAAATCGTGTTGTGCCTTATGTTAATAATGTCCCAAATTATTTTAAATGCGCTAAATATATTTTGAATGAAACCGTAGGCTATACCAAAATATATATATTTTGTAATATTTTAGGTTGATGCCTCTAAACGTGATGAATGTCTGAAGTATCCATTATGTAAAATAGAAAATTTGCATAATTAGTCTTTTTAGAAATATATTTGAAATGCAGAGCTTTAAAAAATAAAAGTGCTAACTAAATCAGTCACAAATATGAATGTATATGCTGATAAATATTAATAATTACAATTTTCTGAATCAAACATCTTCTATTTATGTTCTAGATATGGCGAAAAAAGAAAAAGAAGGAGAAGTCCTAATGATTCACTATTGCATAACAATTAAGTTCAAGTTCAAGTTTTCAAATTTGAGTGTTTCCTAATGTTTCCTAGTTTAAGACACATTCGCCTCCATTTTTTATTTAGTTTTAACATGGCAACAGTTGAAAGCAAATTACCAGTGTCCATTAAAATTAGTTATAACCATAAAAACTATTACTTACACAACACAAGTAACAATATTACGTACAGTACATATATGTTTCATGAGGGAATCTATAACTGTTTACCTTCATCAGAGCTGAATTTCCTGTCCTCATTAATTTTGTTTGTGATCTTCTTGGATGTCAATTATCATGTTTCAGGTCTGACGTAGGCTAACTGCACTGCTACAGGCTGAATATTTCTAGGCCTGAGTCACAATTTAATGCGAAGGAAGGAACTTCAAATATTGCTCTAGTCTGCATTACATAATTTACATAATAACATACATCAATAATTTACATAAATTACCTTAAGCAGTTGACTCAAAATATTTACAGCAATTCTGGGATTTCCTTAGTTGTCAAAGATTATCATTATGCATCTTTTATCTGTTATTTATATGATAATTTCAGTTTGTTTCATTTACAAATATCTAGGTTGATGGCATTGCTCACAAGTTTTGTGCTCAAAAGGTATATTCTCATGTAGTGAAGTAGTTTGATTTCCAGTTTGTTAAAGTCACTTCATTTGTTTCAGTGAGGCTTTCTAATGCACAAAGATATATTGCCTCAGACTATGTTTTACTTACTTTTCCTTTAGTTTATGCCCTGCTTTACCCAGTATTGCCACAATAGAATGAATCGCCAATTACTCTGGCAATTACTCTGGCAATGGCAGCAGATGCTCTTCCAACATGCAACGGCCAATTACTTTATCCAGTTCACCTATATAGCATGTGTTTAGACTGTGGGGGAAACTAGAACACCCAGAGGAAACCCACACAAACAGTCGGGACTCAAACCAGTGACCTTCTTGCTGTGAGGCAACTATGTTAACCGCAGCCAATGTGCCATCCAGATTACGTTTTAGTGAAATAAATTTTCATAATTTTATATATCCACCACTAAAATGTAATTAATGTTTTATACATTCCAGAGGATCATATGCACACACTCACAGTCAAACAGACATCACAAAAAGAATAACAAAAAATAAATATGAATAGCCTACAACAATTGTTTGCTACTGTTAGCATGTCCAAACCATGGTAGGCCAGGCCTACTTCAATACGATTTGTGGTAAATATGGTTACAGAAACAGTAAGCAAGCTGATCACATAAGATCTTTTTTTACTCTAAAGTGTGATTTGAATAGGTTGACTAAGGGTAATCTAAAAACATGATGTCACGTGCACATTTGCATACATGCGTGTGTCTCTTTGTGACAAGACGAAAGTCTATAGACTTCCAGCATAACCGGAAAGACCGGATCAGAGAAGCATAACCGAAAGGGGCACTCAGGGGAAAAAAGTCTCTGTTTTCCAGTGACTGTAACGATGAAGGACTTTATGAGAGTTTCTTCATAACGGGTGTACTAATTGCAAGCTTCCTTTTACACCCATTATTTTCATTTACGGTAGCTAATTATTAACATCCTTTATTACCACACTTTTTAAAAATGTATGACAAGAAAATGAGACATTATTTCCTGTAAAGCTTGATTATTACTTTTCCCTATTGTCACAATATAATCATATATAACAGATTTAAAATGTTGTATCTCTTTTTACAAAGATAATTAGTAAGAAAACATTGATGTTGACAATAACCAAAGCAATATGCTATGTTGGGCTAATTGCAAATGAGAACAACCTATAGCCTACAGAAAGTTGTAAACCTGTTACACATTTATGATTAAATACAAAATAATAATCATAAAAATGCTGTTTTTAAGGACATTTTTGTAGTCTGTTTTGTATATTTTGTGTCCAAGCTGATAAAAACAGGGGGAAGGAAAAAGATTAACATCAAAATCTACAGATATATCTAATTTGGGGAGACAAACAACACTATTAGTCACCATTAATGTAATGTGACATAAGCATCAATCCAGCATGTTATTGTAAACGGGGAAGTTTTGGTGTAAAGGGCGGTGAACGAGAGAGGAGGCGGAGTGAAGACCGAGTGCACTCAAGTCACAGACAGACGTCAACCGCAGTCTAAATAACACCTGTCATTGTTTAAAAAACACTCTTACAACCTACAGATTAATGGTGGTAAGATTCATTAAACCAACTATAATCTATAACTGCGGAATAGTGCGAATTTGCGGGAAATTTACCGACAATGAACGACTTATAATGGACATCTTATACCTGGAGTGAAGAAAGTTTCGGCTGCGTACAAAAGCGATTGTTTTGTAAGTATAATTTTTTTGTTTACTGCAAAAACCTGAACTGCAAAATTATATATTTACTTCTATTACAAAAATGTTCGAGTGTCTAAATAGTTGTTTGTCAAAACTAAAGATTTGCAAATTATTTTTTAAGTCGTCATTTCCGCTTCGGTGTTACGTTTTAAAAGCTCACCTGGGCACACAGGTTGTTCTTATCTCTTGTCACGGTTGATTTATAACACAAGCTGAAACCAACAGTATTGTTAATAGGTATGTTATCCTTGCTTTAAAGAGTTGCATTAAAAGGATATAGTTCACTCAAAAACGAACATTTCCTCACCATTTTCTCACACTCAGATGGTTCTAAACATATGAACCATCTAACTTGAAGTGTGATGAACATAAAAACAGATATTCTGAAGAATGTTGTGGGGGATCCCAGCCATCGATATAGTATTGGAACAAAAAGTACTAGAAGTCAATGGCTGCTGCTTTTCAACATTCTTCAGAATATCTCCCTTTGTGTTCAACAAAAGAAAGAAACTCGAACAGGTTTGGAGCAAGTGGAGTGTGAGTAAATGATGACAGAGTTTTATTTATTGCTTAACTAACATTTTAAATGTTTTTCTTATCAAGAATACAGTTTCTTTATTTCATTTTTTTGCTTAGCAAGGCTGTAACTTGATTCCCCCTACTTGAAGTGTCTGTGGATGGTTCCATATTCAGTGCAAGCGTTTGGTTATATTTCTTGACATTACACTTACTGTATGGCACAAAACAAAATGGTCAGTCACCTTTAAACATTACAACAACTCTCTCAGATCACCGTGATATATTAATAATTAGTGCTACAGTGTAATGACCCACATATTAAAATATGACAAACTTTGTGGGTCACAGGTCAGCTGGATATGTTTGACACATTACTAACTTTAATTATACAGTATGTACAGGATTAGAGTCACACCTTTTGACAAAACAAACAAAACAACAAACAGAAGCTGTCATTTGTTTTAAGGCACAGTCTGCATGTACACTCCTTTGTAAATAGACATTATTTTCTTCTTATAAGACCTTATTATTTGTTGACTACAATTCTGTAGAATTGTCAGATAAATCAGTCCTCCGGTTTCAGAGGACGCTGTATTAAATGGGAACAGAAGCAACCAAGCATGGCTTTATCCAATATGTTGGAAACTGAAGACTCAGTTCTGAAGACTTCGGTTCTGCAAGCTCCATGCGCTCATGAAAGGATCTGATTTAGGAGATTTTGTGGGCTAAATTTAAACCCCGGGCCCAGTGTCAGACAGTCTACTTTTTCCCATGTCATTTGGGGTGTGGAATTTGGGTGTGTAGTCGGGAATGTTATTTTGATTTTTCTCCGGTTACCTGCTCTGACAAGCTCCCACAGTTCTAGAGCGGTTTCTTCATTCTGGCTGATTATTCACTAAAGGTCATGTGTCTGTGAGTTGATCTGGATGTTGTCATGGTTTGGTAAACACAGAAGTGCAGAGAGTTTCTACTTGTCTCTCTGGACACACGTTGAGTGAACTAGAAGGTTCATGGACAAATTCTTGACAGACAAAAACAAACAAACATTTGTTTATTTATTTGAGGTTTAGTCCAGTTCTGCAAGAACAGTTCTTTACATACTTATAGTGTGAAACCGTTCTCTTTGCCAATACAAATAAGTTGTAATACTTTAGAGAGTTATTCAGTGATCATTCATTGCATAATTGCTTTATGAGTTTGATGGCATTGAATGGGTTAATCATTCTCCTTTAGTCACACATACCTGAAACCTCATACAAATTCCTAGTTCCTGGCTTCTGCTGAATAAAGTGGTTTGATTGGTTTAATAACTCATTTGCTTCCTATGTCTGTTAACATGCATGCTATTTTAATTATGCATTCTTTCAGTTTTGATTATTTGGAGTGTTCTTTTTTGTGTGTAATTTCTTTGTAATTGTGGGTTAAATTGACTGGCAATTTAATGTATAAACATAAAAATAATCATTTATTTTGTTCAGTTTTATCTCTAAAATGGTCAATTTCTTCTCAAAAGTAAATTATTTCAATCAGCAACATGGAGGGCATATGAACCACGTTTGCTAAAAAATAGGTTCACACTTTAATATAAGGCTTGCATTTGTTTACATCAGGGGTTCCCAAAACTTTTCAGACCACAACCCCCAAAATAACAATGCCAGTGACCTTAAACACGACCATATTGACAACACAAAAAGTGCAACCGTCTAATAACCATAGGCTGTAATTTAAATGTATAAAGTCATTTATTCATTTGTTTGATCTAATTTTAACCTCACCTAATGAGGCTAGTGGGCACAATGTTTTCAGCAAGTCTATTCTTGGTTTAATTTTTGAGACTGCCACTCACCCAGGGGGTTCCAACCCCCATTTTGGGAACCACTGGTTTACATTTACTGATTACAATAGTTAACAGAAATTAACAATGAAAAATTAGCAGGTAGCAGGGTGTTGTTAGAGTTGAAAGGGATAAGGGGCTTAGCCCAAAAGTAGCCCATACCCCCCCCCCCAAAAATCTAATTCACCCCGCTAAAATACCTCCACTTTAAAAAAGTGATCTACTCTAATCTTAATGGATTATAAGTGGTTTTTAATAATAAATAAAGGGTTTTTGAGTTGACAGTCTTTTAACAATACTGTCGATTGTGAAGCTTTGTGACTTGTAACACCAAAAAGGAAAAAAAAACATTGATTAATTAACCCACATCTCATTTACTAGTCTGTTATGGGCCATATCAAACCTCTTGAGCCTCCTGTCTTCTCCTGATTTGCAGTTTCTGTTTGTTTTTTGAAAATGTAATTTTCTGCATGTCTTCAAATCTGAAATATGATTTATTTTATTATGTGAGTTGTTATCCAATTGTATACAAAGCTACAAACATGTTAATTTGAACAGAGCGATTAACTAAGGTGTGTTTTAAAGATATTGGAAATTCTAAATTCAATACCTTGTGAAATATTCAAAATATTCAATAGTAAAAATATATACAAAAAAGATCTATATGCTAGAAATAAGTTTACTTCAAATGTCTTTAGAGGGATATTTTTTTTTCAGTTTTCCTCAAAATAGGGTGATGTGGGCATTGTAGCACTTTAAATGCATGTAATGCCTGTTTCATTCACACTTGAGCAGAAATTCCATATATGCCTCACAAAATTGTAGAACATACCAGGAAATCTCTAATATGGATGAAGGCATCCAGCTATTGCTGTAGTAGAATGAAAATAAGATCTGAATAAACATAAAAATGCTTTAACTGATCATTTACACGACTGCAACAATAAATGGTTTATATGCGTTCTTCCAGCCATCTTAGGTATTTTCATAAGAAAGTTGATTTATAATTCGATGCTAACTGACAGCATGTTACAGTAGAATATTGCTATAAAATAACTTAGTGTTTCTCAGTGCTGGGTTGTGGATGAAAGGGCATCTGCTGCGTAAAACATATGCTGTATAAGTTGGCGGTTCATTCCGCTGTGGCGACCCCTGATTAATAAAGGGACTAATCTGAAAAGAAAATGAATGAATAATAATAAAAATAATAAAACAACAGCAATATTAATAAAAAATAACTACATATGAATCTCAAGTAAAATGTTTACTTTAATGTTTTAAGTAACTTTTACAGTAATAAAATATGTGTGAAACCATATTAAATCACCATTCAGCATGGCAGTTATATATTAATGTTAAAATTAAATCCTCTGCTTATTGAAATATAAATAAATATTAGTTACTATATCAATAAATAAATTGCGTAAAGCCTAGTAGTTCAAAGTTAAAAGACTTAATAGAAAGTAAGGAAGTCAAGTATTTTGGGGTATTTTGATGGTGCTTCTTTTACAATATGATCTTTATTTTATGTATGCCTGACAAAATGTTTACAAAATGCTCAGTCAGTGTCACAGTCAGAGCTGTACCAGGCACTTTAAGAGGACATTATCCGCACACCTCTGGCTCTCTTGTTTTTTTGATTGCTGATTGGCTTGCTGCAAATTCCCAACAGGCATCCATGACAACCAAGTGAGGCCTTTGTGAGGAACAGCCGTGTATTGTCTGTTCCAAAGAGACATGTAGATATAGTACGCTAGGCGTATAGAAAACTAGTACAAAACTGCTTACCAGTAAAAATGACTGTTTTAGGTCAATCTTAGGTTATATTTTTACTTTATCTGATTGATGTGTTTGCTCTGTCTCAGAGTTGCTGCTTGAGCATCTAATAATGATGGATCATGATACTCAGTGGCTGTACCAGCTCCTGGCTGACGTGCAGCTGGAGAGATTCTACCTACGGATGAGAGATGGACTCAACGTGACCCGCATGGAACACTTAAGCTATGTTAAAGAAGCAGATCTTGAGCAGATTGGCATTAGCAAACCAGGTTTGTGTTCAGTTTTGTACTTTAAATATAAAAAATCTGTGTTTCTGTTCTGTGGAAGTGATCTGTGTGATGTTTCTGATAACTAGTCATTTAAAGTCACCATCAAAATCATATAAATTCTTATATTTTCAGGGAATATCACAGTTTATTGTAATTGATTTGTCATAAATTGCAACTTTTCAAAATTCTGATGATGTGTTTACTGGTGCGAGCGAGGGGACAAACTGTCACTCATATGAGATCAACCAATAAAAAGACAACAATTAAAATCATATCCATAAGGACAAATCAAATCCCGTCCTTCCTTTTTTTGAGAAGCTATTTCAGTCAGATGTGTGTCACAAAAGAGCACAAAACATTGTCACAACTTTATTTTAGCTTTGCATTTATTGTGGTTACATGGTACATATTTTTTGGCAACAGGACAGCGACGGTTATGGGAAGCTGTGAAGCGATACAAAACCAACATGCGAGCACGGTCCTGGATGGTGAAGGTATAGTATTTTACATAAGCTATTTGTTTATTTACTCACTTTGCCTACTTGTGAGGATAACGGGAAACGCGGATATTGGCTAATGTCTGTTTTCTGCCAGGCCACTAATGGTCGCGCTCCTGAGGGAAATGATCAGTCTAATGCTGCTGGCTCAGGCCAGGGGCCAGTCCGCGCACTCACCTGTCTGATCCAGGACAGGGAACTCCTCTTTGGAGACAGACTAGGCTCTGGTTCCTTCGGGGTGGTTAGGAAAGCAGAATGGCATACACCGACTGGAAGAGTGGTGAGTACTTTACACTAAATATGAGTACTTGTTTGTGCACTTTAAGAGGAATAGGAATAAAAAGTAGCTTAATTGTCTTTTTTCCATCTTTTTTAAGTTGCCGGTAGCAGTGAAAACCCTGAGGAGTGGACAGGTGGACTTGGTGAGCGATTTCCTACAGGAAGTGACGTCAATGCAGTCTCTGGATCACCCCAACATTATACACCTCTACGGTGTTGTACTTACTCATCCCCTTAAAATGGTAATCTTTACTTTTTGTGTAAATCATAATTTTTTTTCGCATAGAATCATATCAATGCGCAAGTAAACATTATGTTCTAGCCAGCTTTACACACTACTCCAGCCTTTTTGATAATCCTCCTAAATGGACTATATTGCGAGGAATTGAGCTAAAACATTTAACATAGGAAGGAAAAATAAACAAATAAATTAATACAAACGAATAACAAACAAATACATAAAAGAATAGCTATAAGAAAATAAATAGGAAAATTTACACTGTAATAATATTTTTACTGATATAAGATTATTTAATGTTTTATGCATATAGAAAATAAAAATGATTTACATCAGGGTTCTTGCGTATTCTACAAAACCTTAAAATTTAGAGGGTTGTTTTCCAGTCCTGGAATTGACCTAGTATTTGATAAAAAAATTATCAAATGTCCTCGAAAAATCCTACTTTTCCTGGATTAATTTGTTAAATGATTTTCATGTTTTAATTTTTCAGTTTAAATAACATACAGTTTATAAGTCTAGATATGATGACAGCTGAGCTAAGTCATGGCCTCTGCTGCACAGTGACAATTACATTTAAGTTTTGACCCTCTGAGGTTCCTCTAGCTCAGTGTTTTCTAAAACTTTTTCTACCATTCCCCACTTTGGAGGTAGAGAACTGTTCCCTACCCCACCTGTTCCCAATCACCTAAACAAAATGTCTTGTTTTTCTATCATTTTCTTTTTCATGTCACAAATTTATTTATTTTGTATGTTATAGTCAATATATAATTTTATATTAGGGTTGTTCAATATTTAAAAAAAAGATATCTCAAAATGTTCTAGGATTGTGCTGATAACAACCATGACACAAACATTTCTGACATTTTATTTATATTTCTTCCAAAATGTCAATACAATACTGGTTATTTAAAACAACATATTAAGGAACAGTGTAACAATTATTTAAAACTGAAGCAGTCAAGCAAAAAAACAAAACAAAACAAAACAAGATTTATGATATTATTGTACACCCCTAACCACTACTGCCTCTTATCAGTAAAGTTTTTGCTCCTCTTTAATTCACATTTAGACTTTTAATCATTCTAATCATCCACTATGATTAGAATGATTACTGACCAGAATCAGCAAATCAGAGCACATCACACCTGTTCTCAGGTATTTACACTGGCTCCCAGCTACATTCAGAATAGTTTTTAAAGTTTTAATACTTGTCTATAAATCACTTAATGGCCAAGGAGCTCAATACATTACAGATATGCTCACTGAATACAAACCCAACAGATCACTCACATCTTTAGGATCATATAAACTAGAAATTCCAAGAGTTCAGTCAAAGCAGGGTGAATCAGCCTAGACTGCTGGAATCAGCTTCCAGAAATGATCAGATGTGCTCCAACATTAGGCAAATTTAAATCAATACTGAAAACCCATCTGTTTAGCTGTGCCTTTACTGAATGAGCACTGTGCTGCGTCCGACAGATCGCACTGTTATGTCTTTATTTTCTTTTTCATTCTTTTATTGCCTGTTTTAACACATTTTACTCTGTTTTTTATTTTTAAAAAAATATTTTTTATGATTATTTTTATGTTCTTGAACTTTATTCTTGTTTATCTAAAGCACTTTGAATTGCCCCTGTGTATGAAATGTGCTATATAAATAAGCTTGCCTTGCCTTACTATGGTAGCACGTATGGCTATCTACTGATTCAGTACTAAGCCTGTGACCAATGTGTATAACAATTTGTGACCTTCATGAATCAGCTGAAAAATGTCATGCAAATGTCCTGGAAATTTTTTTCTTAAAAAAGAGTGGAAACCCTTTGCATTTTTAATTGCCTAAGCACTGTCAGTTTTGCTGAAATTGAGACCAACATTTAAGTTATACACACACACAAACATACACATATCATTGCATTTGTGACCAAATAAATGCATGCTCAATTCAGAAACATTTTTAAAAATCAGATCAATCTACTGATCATGGTTGAGTGATGTTGTGTGTCGATACTCTGAGCGATGACACAGTTACTCTTTTTATTTCTCAGGTAACGGAGTTGGCTCCTCTCGGATCTTTATACGACACTCTGCGTCTGCGCCATGGAGAATATCCTCTTTCTCGACTCTGGCTCTTCAGCACACAGATCGCTGCAGGTATGGAGTACCTGGAATCCAGACGATTCATCCACAGAGACCTCGCTGCCCGAAACGTGCTCCTGGCTGCTAGAGAGCAAGTGAAGATTGGAGACTTTGGACTGATGAGAGGTCTGGATGACAGGGACCACTATATCATGACAGCACACAGACGGATCCCTTTTGCATGGTGAGAAAACTGATAAAGTACATTTGTAGAAATAAAAATATGGAACTGGTGAGCTTAATTAGACATGCTGTCACTATTAGAGGTGCGCAATGTCTATGATGATATCATAATTTTGATTTTACAGATGTGCGAGCGAACATTATCAAGTAAACTTGGCATCATATGTTTATATTTAAAAATCACTTCAATACAACAGCAGCAAACACAACTATCTAAATTATTCACTTAACTATAACATGCTACAAATGTTTTGTTTTCTCTGCACCAATTAATGACTTCAACAAAAAAAATTCAGAGACAATTAAATAGTTTATATAGTTAAATAGTTAATAATATTTAAAAAAAAACTCAAGAAGCCTAACAACTGTACAGCTTACCAAAACAAGTCTTTCTATTGACTGATCTCACACGGCTGCCATTTTAAAAGCGAAATCAAAATTGAGGTGGGAAGCAACCCGGAAGTATTGTCTGGAGTCGCACAAGAATGTTGTTCCTCGCTGTAGATCTTATCAGCGAAGAGAAAGTGACAAATTTAGCATTTCACTGCCTTCCAAGTGATCCAAAGTTCCATTCTGAAAGGATAGTGAAAATAATAAGGGATATCAGAATTCATTTTGAGTTAAGGGAAATGGCACTAGTTATCTAACGTTTTTTTTCCCTAAGCACACTGTTTAGATGTCATTTATCAAACTCAAGTTAATGAACTGATTCTTTCAGGGGGAGTAAATGATGAAAAAAAAAACAAGATCAGATATTGTTAAGTAACAGAACAAAAACAAATGAATTGTTTTTCTGAATATTACCTTGATCACAAAATTGACAAACTCTTAGAAATAAAGGAACCCTGGTTGCACATTTTTTAAATGTATACTGTAGTTCCTAAAGAGACAATACTGGTACCCTAAAGATAAACGTATTAGTACTTAAATGTCAGAATAAGTACAGACCTTTTCAAACTGTACCTTTTAAAAACATCTCACCACGGTGACAACATTGTTGTTTTTGTTTTTGAGCATTTACTTATTTATACAACACAATACATCTTGTGCATTTTTTTATGAATCTGTATGCCATAAAAATATTGTGATAATATTGTATTTGCAATATATGTATCACAGACGTGTGTGATTAATGACATTAATTTTATGCATTGATTTTTTTGTATTTGACTAGTCAGATGGGGTCTTACTGTCTTCATCCCGCTTCCCCAATTAGTTGCTGTTATGCTATTGGCTGGAGTGGCACAAAGGTGAACCTAGAACTAAAAATTATGAATGGCAGGAGTCAAGACTAGAGGAAAGTGACAACAGCCAATCAGATTCAGAATATGTTTTGAGGTTTTCACTTATTCAGTGTTTTAAAGACTAACACAAGACTTTTTGGTCTGAATTAGAATGAATTAGATCTGAAAAATATTTTTACCTGTTTATTTCAGTATCATTACATAAATGAATGATTTATAAATGTTTTAACATAAGAATTATCATTATCGCAATACTCAACAACATCAAATATTTTATTTTAAGTATCGTGAAGCTCTATTTAAAATGAACCAGCTATTTTTAATGAATGATTCAGGAAATCACTCATTAAAACAGACACATGTTGACATCTACTTGTAGTTTTAGTGTCATGTTTATTAAATCAGCCAAGGTACTAGCACAAAATAAAACTCAACAAAAATACTGTTTATAAAATACTGAAGAAATCGGCAGAAATTTTGAGATATCATTTTTTTTACACTTCTAGCCAATCATCCAATTAAATACAGGACAGTAATTCCAGCATCTTTCTTTCCTTCCACAGGTGTGCTCCTGAGAGTTTGCGTACGGGATCTTTCTCTCATGCTTCAGACGTCTGGATGTTTGGTGTCACGTTGTGGGAAATGTTCACTTACTGTGAGGAACCCTGGTTGGGGCTTTCTGGCAGACAGGTAGCTGGTTTAAAGAGAAAAATGTTAATGAACAGACACTTTAATCAGCACTATATACATAAATGACTGTGTGTTATGTGTTTTGTGCAGATTTTGTATCGTGTCGAGCGGGAAGGTGAGCGTTTGGAAAGGCCTCCTGATTGCCCGCAGGAGTTGTATGCTGTGATGCGCAAATGTTGGGCCTGCAATTCTACTGAACGACCGACCTTCGCACAGCTCACCACCATGGTATCAGAGGTCAGTGTTACTCCTCTGCTTCTTATTGAAAAATATCTTAATATACACTACTGTTCTAAATAAGGGCTGAACGGAAAATGAAGTGTGACCTTAATATTCAGCAACCAGAATGTTGTACCAGCAAGGTAGAATGATGAAGAAATTGTGCTTGGCCAACACAGGAATGAATTACATTTTTAAATATATATTACAATCAAAAACGAATATTTTATATTGCAATAATATATGTTTAATAACTTCTTTAAAAAAAAAAATACTGACCCCAAACTTCTTTACTTATTGTGCTAGACTGTAAGTGTTGCAAAGAATGCACTACAGGAAAAAACTGAGAACTCCCCTGAGAAAAAACATTAGAAAAATAATATTGTATCTTATAGTACTCCTGAGAATATTGTATTCTGTCCGACAAAAAGCCCAGCGACTTTGATTATATTTGGGGACATTTACTTGACACATTACCTCTGTTAGACTTTAATAATTCATTTTTATTTTCATATAATTATTGTTAGTTTTGATAGTCTTTTTGTTGTTGTTGTTGTTGCTCCAACTTTCTCTTATTTTATGTTGTTGTTTTAATTTTGTTTTTATCATATATGTAAATGTAATTTATTTGTGCATCATTTCTAGACATTATTGTTTTTATTTATTATTACCATCAGGCATTTCAATTATCTTTATGCAACATCAAAATGAGAAATGTTTTGACAAAATTTGTGACAATTATACCTTGTATGGATAGGGTTGGCAGGGTGGGTTGTATTTATAATGATAAAAACTAAATTTTCCCACTGATTTGTCTTTTTTAATGTATTTTTCAGGCACAGCCTATGGAGGTTCGTTCGGTGAAAGACATTGCAGAGCCCAGGAGACTCTCTCTACAGGCAAATGATCTAGTGACTGTAATAGACCATGGGTAAGAGTGGGGGTGGAAGGCTGGAAGGATAAAACAAAAAAAATCATGTTTCTTTTTCTTGTACTCTTTGGCTGAGTGGTTAACAGTACTTAATAAGTTGTTCCAATAAATCTTTGCTGACTGCAACTCTAATAAAAGCAGTGTGTAATTTTTAACTTCCCTCCTCTCCTTAATTTAATTACATTCCATTCATAGTTCAGCCTTTTCTTTCATATAACCGCATGCAACCATATGCAAACACCCAGGGGTACAGATGTAAGACTTTCTCACACCAAAAACAGTAACTATAAAGATATATAATAACAACTGTATTAGCATCCGCACTGATAGACAATACAGTTTGTAAGCAAGCTGCAGTTTTATCATCAATGTAACTTCTTTAGGTGCTGCTCTGTGTTTGTATTGTTATATTTGTGTATGCTCTTTGCTTTTTTTTTACCTGTAGACTTGTTTTTACTTTATTTTTTGAAGAACTTTTTACTTTGTGTGAATAAGCCTTTAATTATCACAACAATGACTTTGCATTAAGGACATTTGATATGATCAGAACTACATAAGTGACAAACTTTGATGTTAGCATGATATTAGCAAACTGCTTGCATTTATTAAAATGTTTTTAACATTAATTAGCTTAAATTTGGCTTTTGCTGGGATGTTTCTGTCATGAATTAGCATGTTGCTAAAAACAATCATTATTTTGCTAACATGTAGCATGGCTTTAACGATGATAGGTTGATGCAAATCTATAGATAAATGTCTGAATGTTGTTAACTGTATGGTTGAAGTTGAAATGCTCTGAGATTTACTGTTTGTGAGAAAGTTTTGACCCCTTTGTGATTTTTTTCTAAGTCATTTTAGCATAAAGCTTAAGTTCAGGATCTGACATGGGTTTTGTGGTTGTAGCTTGAATGCTGCAAGCACTCCTTAATTGCTAGAAAATGAAAGGTGCTTTATTCCCCTAAATGTATTTGTGAATTAAAAAAAATGACTTTCAACTTGGCTGTGCTTTTATGTAGGTTGGATATGTGCGAGTGGAAGGGACAGAACCAGAGGACTCTGAGTGTTGGCTGGTTTCCCCCTGCGTTAACAGCCCCGGCTCTCACAGCAGTAGTTCCTGCGTCTGGTCCCACACTGATCTCCTCTCCTGTTAGAGGGTCTCTACACCACACGGGACATGGAGACACTGACCCAGGACGCAGCTGGGGCACCCCTGAACGCATAGATGAGTAAGTTGATGATTAAGTTACGAACTGTATAGGCTAAATTTGCTAAAGGATTGGATGTTACTCTAAGTGGGCTGTTTGATATGAACTTTCCAGCAACAGACGTTGGAGGGTCCCATTAGCAAAAGAGAAGGAAGGCTCCAATTTGAAGAAAATGGCAGGTAAGAGCCTACATTATTACTGCAGTGAACTGCATAATATTTACTTATAATTTAAATAAGTTATAATATATAATTTATCATTTTAATCAAATGAGAATCCACTTGATTTTGAAGAGCTCTACCTTGTTTTAAGTGACTGAAACATGTTCAAAAAATAGCAACTGTTAGCAAAAATAGCAGTACTGTGAGCTAGGGTGGACTCTAATATAGTTATACTCACCGTTATATTTACTGGAAAGGACATATTTACTGTCTAATAATTTGTTCAAACTAAAATTGCATCAAATTTGTGATGTGTGCAAAGAAAATGTAATTTTGGAATTAAGTGTCTTTGATGATGAAACTGCATTATGTAAAGCCTATTAAGAGTGTTAAAATTTCACAATGTAGAACAATGTTAATAAAAACTTGGACAGCCGACATGTTATGGAATAATTAGCATTCCAAAAATTTTTCAGTCTTTAGTTATTGAGTTTATTGAGTTGTTGAGTTTAGTGTTTAAGAATGAGATCAGTTACTCTAAATTTTTATTTATTTGGGTTGTTTTCATAAATGTGTAATTAACTACCATAATTTAAACATCAAACTAGAGGCACCAAACTAGAGGGTTATGCATACTGGGTCAGTTATCATCACATGCGGTTATTGCCTCATGACTAGGGCCAGACAGAATCTGCAGACATTTTTTACTATTTCCGCTGAAAATTTTGTAAAAAATCTGCTGATTTATGCTGAATGATTTTGGGAGTATCAAAACAAAAAATATTTAATTAAATAAATACCTTTTATGTATATATAAAAAAAAGAAATAAAAATTAATACCTTTTAACTTTAGTATTTCCATCTATTTATTTGGTAAACAAAGCAAGTCTCTCGTATAATATATCTACTAAATGACAGAAAATATTAACTTACAAACTGTATTGTAAATAAAGCAAATTAACATTTTCATATTAGTCAATAATATTAATAAAATTAATTTAAAAACTGAATACATTTACACAAATAAATAAGTAGACTCGATGGGCTAAAAATCTGTGGAAATCTGTGTTTATTTCTGCATCTGCAGATTCCATGTGGGTCTACTCATAACTAAACAAAGGTCAGCTAATGTGAGTGTGGACACTGACACACAAAATGGCAGCAAAAAGCATAATAAAAAAAAAACACATCAGGATCATTTCCTATTATTAAGTTAAAAACTGGCCGACCATTAAGCGCAATCTAAAGTCAGGCAGTGATTTTGCATGTTCACTTTGCTCATCTCCATAAAAATCTCTTACACATAAATGTTGAGCAGGATACACATTAATAAACATTGCTGTATGGACATCTGTTATGTTAATGTACAAAATAAACCTGATTTAAAGTCCCCACGAATGAGAAGCTGCAACATTATTCTTTTCGTATTGTAATGCAGTTCCTACCTAGAGAAACTGAATTTTAAATGGACAAACAGTGGGCGTGGCTTGTTTTTCTACTGCTGATTGGATGTCGTAAACTAGGCATTTCATTTAGAAAGATTGGCATCAAAATGAGCAATAATTAAAACAATTCTTACAAGGAAGAGCTAAAAGAAAGAGAAAAAACACTCCAGAAGTGTTTTCCTTACATATAGAAAAAAATACTAATCCATTGAACTTTTACTGTTTACTTGATTATGACATAAATGTAATTTATTTTATTTTTACAGGGACAATGTACAACATGAGATGTTGTGCCAGAGTTAGCTATAAAGCTAATTTACATCTGTAGTCCCTGGGCAGGAAGTTGCAGCAAATTTAACAGTATAAAATAATACATTATACACTTACAATACACTACATGCAATACATCATCAACAATAAAATCAAATCAAATCAGTGGCTGCATATTTGATTTTGTTTAAGCCAAATTTTAAGATCAATTTTAAAATTATTTAAAGTGGTTCTCTCTCTGATATGCACTTGTATTTTATTCCATCTTTCCGCTGCTCTGACAAAAAAAAAAAAAAAAATCCAAAAGCAGTTCTCTTAGGTTTAACTGAACAATCACCTCTAACTTATGACTTAGTCTTTCTTATATTCTCCTTGCAGACAATCACACGTTGTTTGAGGGGTGGTGGTGCAAGATCATTAAATATTTTACACATTAAACATACATCAGCATAAAAGAATGTTAGTAATTTATGTTGTGCAATACATTTACTATGATGATAGCTCCTTGGCTTTTTAGCTAAAATGTTTACAGTTTGTTTATAGATAATAAACTAGATTGTAGCACAATAAGATAAGTGAGGGAAAATCATTGTATTCATAAAAAGTTTAGCAGCAGCCTTAGGTAACTGATGCCCAATGTTTCTAAAAATCCTCAGGCTTGCTCTAGCACGTTTGGAAACCTTCTTAATGTGTTTTTTAAAATTTCAAATTAGAGTCAATAATTATGCCTAAATATTTAAAATGATCAACTATATTTATTACTTCTCCATTAACCAAATATCTGAGCAATGCTCCTCATTTTTTTATTAAAAAAAAACATTCCCACAGTTTTACTTACATTGAGGGTAAGACATGAACAATATAACCAGTCTGAAACTTTCTTGAGTGCAGCAGTAAGTTTGTTAGCTGCTTGTTCTTTGATATTTGCGTGAGTATATGCTACTGTGTCATCTGCATACATTTGAACCTGAACTTCTGGACATACTGTAGGCAAATCATTAATGTATAAACTAAACAGAATTGGTCCAAGAATTGATCCTTGTGGAACCCCAAAATTACAACTAATGAATGGTGAGCATGTACCATTAATTCTTGCACATTGTTTTCTCGATTTTAAATATGAGGAAAAAGTCAACAGGAAAAAGTCCACAGAATCAACACACAGCCACTTTAGCTCTCAAAAGACAATACAATTGAGCAATGTGTCAACATTTTAAGTTCAGATGAAGACCTTGTAGGTCGAAACAATGTCCAATTAAATTGTCTTCTGAGAGCTAAAGTGGTAGTGTACCAATTCTGTTTACATTTTTTGTTTGGCTTGATCAGGCACCTGCCTTTAATATTTTCTTAAATGTGCGCACAATGATGTCTTTCTTTCTATAAATGTCTTTCTGTCAATCTTCAGGCATGTCTAGGAGTCTGGAGTCTGTCCTCGGGGGTCCACAGGATAAAGGTCGAGGTTTTGGAGTGAATGCCGCTCAGAGATCCGACCAGCGCAGGAACATGCAGAATAATAACGTAATCCAGGATCCTCGCAGGTTTAGTGACGCTGTGGTCATCCCTCCTCCACGTCCTCCACCGCCAAACATCAAGAGCATCAAACCCCAGATGATGATGATGTTCCTGGATCGGAGAGCTGCAAACCCCTCCGGCTGGAGCCCTCAGACTCAGGCACAGCCTCAGTTCCAGCCACAGCAGCAGGGTTTGGGGACGAGTAACCTTACTAGGATGACCCATCTAGCCAAGTCCAGCCCTCAGTTGGACGACGTCATTGAGAAGGACAAGGAGAGAGAGAAGGAGCAAGAGAGAGAAAGAGAGCGGGAGAAGGGAAAGGAGAGATACCCGCCGCTAGTGGACAAGGAGGCCGTTATAGCACAAGTATGATGATCCTTTCAGTGATGTCCTTTTTTTTTTCTTGCCAACATTATTAAAGGGCCAGTGAAATTAAAGTAATGTTTTTAGATGTTAGTTTCAGTGTGTTATTTTCAGAAGATGTACAAGTTTGTGCGCTGTAAAACAGTGACAGTTCATTTTTAGAAGTTATAAAACTAATATAAACATCTAAAGCTTGCAGTTTGTCACTTCCACCTAAATGGATCAATCTTTTTTTTCATATCACCTCAAACTTCAAAATCTTCAAATCTTGACCAATCTAATGCTCTCTGGTGTCTGACATTCCCCGCCCCCTCGACACTTCTCATTTGCTTTTCATTTGATCTCAACCACTCTCACTAGGGTAAATACAGAAGTATGCAGAAGGACTTTTACATTTTCAGCATCCTCGGACAACCGCTTCTTGTAAACTGTAAGGCATTAACAAAATCGGCCCATTTAAGGTCTCCTTTCTTTAAAAATCAATGATCTACACTGCCTGATTGATATACAATATTAAGTGGGTCTCAGATTGTACAAGTAGCACTGCATTAAATTACATTTGCCCCCACCATGTCTTTAAATATGAACATTTATTTTCAATGGTGTTTCTGCGCTCTCCTGCTGATCCTTACCGGATTGTGGATTTGAACAGCTTTTTATCTCTGTGTACGCTTGAACAATTGAATATATGCTGAAGTCTATTTAGCTGATTATATTTTAATAACATTATAACATTGATGCTGTAAAAGAAACTGTATAAAATTGAAAAAGTCACGTTGACCGTTCACCGGAAGTGTATCAGTTTAGGAGGAAACACTAGCTCTGCATATACCCTATGGCAAAGCTGTGATAAAAACAAGACCCTATTGGCTGTTTTTTAAAAAGGGGAGGAGCTACTCTGTCCTGCCTTCTCTTTGTGTTTCAGTTAAGATTGTCAATAATTGAATAAAAATGCACATTTAAAAGTACTTCACAAGACCTGTATTATTGTGCAAAGATGGATTGTTGCTGATTTTTTTTGTTTTACAGTATTAAAATCTTTTTTAGGACGATAAGTGATGCAAATTTCTTTAAATACGAGACAAATTCTACGGTTATGTAGCTCTTAAAAGACAATGTTGTGAAAAAGAAATTTTAGAATTAATAGATATAATCTTTATAGAATGACATATACATAAAAAAACTACCATCAAGTGTATTTTGTAACACTTATAGTGTAATTATAGTACTTTTTATAGTTAGTTTGAATTAGGTTTATTATTATTATTATTATTTATAATTTTTATTGCTGATGGTTATTTTATAAAAACTACAACAAATTCTTCTAATTAAATAAAATAAGCCTTTTGGCATCCCATCATTTTAGCACAGTGTTTAAAGGGATAGTTCACCCAAAAATATATATGTACTCACTATTTACTCACCCTCAAGTGATTCCAAACCTTTATGACTTTTTTTCTTATGTTGAACACAAAAGGAGATATTTTGAAGAAAGCTGAAAACCTGGAACCATTGACTTAGTAGGAAAAACAAATACTATGGAAGTCAATGGTTACAGGTTTTCAGCATTCTACAAAATATCGTTTTAAGTGTTTAATAGAAGTAAGAAACTTAAACAAGTATGGAACAACTAATGGACGAGTAAATGACAGAACCTTCACTGTTGGCTAAACTATCCTTTTTATGAACTTGATATTAATATAAAAATTGACACAAACACAAAGCAGCACAACTGTTTTTCAACATTGATAATAATAATAGGAAATGTTACTTGAATAGTCAAGAATGATTTGAGACAGATCATATAAAACTAAAGCATGAACTAGCAATGATGATGAATAAAAAAGTAAAATGGACAATAAGAATAGAGTTCATCTTAAGTAGTGTTACTAACATGTTTAATTCTGATCGGTCATCAGGTGCAGGCTGCGGTGCATGGAGTGACCAATGAGGAGGTTCAGAAAGCTCTGCATCGCTGTGATTGGAATCCTACAAAAGCAGAACAGCAACTTAAGGTAAGAGACAATACGCTTATTTTATGCGACCACCAGTTTAAAAAATTAAATAGGCTGCGGTTGGAAGAAACCTGGAGGTAGAGGATCAGCACTGTAAACATTGCAATAACATCGGCCAATCAGTCATTTCTGTTGAGCACTGGTGAAAACTTAATCAGTGGTGTTAAGAACGCGCTCAACAGTGCTTAAATGTTAGCAGGAAATTGATGTTTTTTAAAGTTCAGTACCGAAATTCAGTGTGGTGACATGTCTAATATAGTAAAAGAATCAGTTCATTCATTTGAGTTTGATTAATTGCATCTAAAATGTGTGCTTGGGAAAGAAAACGTTAGCTAACTTGTGCCATTTGCCTTAACTTAGTTGAAAATGAGGTCTAATATCCCTTTTATTTTCATTATACATTCAGAACGGACTTTCGAGTCACTCGGAAGGCAGTGAAACGATAAATTTGTGTCACTTTCTCTTCACTGATAAGACATACAGCCAGGTACAGAAACCGTTTCTGTGTGACTCCAGGAGATAATTCCGGGTTTCCTCCAACCGCAGCCTCATTTTCGCTTTTAAAATGGCGGCCGTGTAAAATCAGTCTGTTAACACTTGCTCATTCAAAGTAAACAATTTCTTAGATTACTTGGTGTGATTTTAAAAAGATTTTCCTGATATCTTCAGACAGACCAGCTGTATTACATGAATCAGTGCACTCGTGAGGAATGTCAGAAAGTCCTCTCACGCTACAACTGGGACCTGCAAATAGCAAGCCGCTACGTCATCCGAATGGCCAAAGAAAGAGACAGAGTCCTGGATAGACGAGGAGAAAGAGTTTAAAGCCTTGTGCAAAATTATGGAGGATTTAGTGTTTTTGTCAAATCACTGATCAAGAGGACAATTATCAAGAGGTCACCCCCAAAAAAAGGTTTTTCATTCACATCCACTGTGAAACTATCAATGTGACTCTGTATTATGTGCTTTGATGAATACATTTGTGGTATCAGTTGTTGTTTTAAATCTGTTTGGAAAGACATCATAATCATTCGTATTAAATACAGAATGTTTTTAGCGTCATTCCAGGTGCCATCGTGACTGTTTATTGTTAGTTTACAATTTTTTTTAGGTTTGTTAAATTTTTAATGTGTGTAAAATTAGTGAAATGTATATGATGATGAATTTGTAAATATATGTGGCGTATTAGAAACATGTTCAATAAAATAAAACATGACTTTTTATATTGTATACTTTTTTTTGCAGTTATTACAGTTTAAAGCATTCAAGGTTATTTATAATAAAATGTGTCTTTAATATAAAGATTTGATTAATTGTCAACTAACGTTACATATCCTTGTTATGAAAATCTATCATATTAATGCTAAAGGGACATTCTACCAAAAACATTTATTTTCATTTCAGGTCTGACCCCAGGGGCGTAGCAACCGGGGGAACAGGGATATGTTTCCGTCTCTTTTAGAGACAGACCATTTAGAAACAGGTGATTAATAATAAAATGAACTGAAAATTTTGAATCTCATTCAGCTGTCCCCCTCACTTTTTAAAATGTTTGCTACGCCCCTGGGTCTGAGCTATAAGCTTGTCCTCCTTAAAAAAATCGTACAAAGACAAGCATAAAATCATACTATTCAACGATATAACGCATCCTTGATCACTGTCAGCTCCATCAAATCATGTCACTTTCTTTGAGTCTTAGCCTAAATGTGTATTGCACACATTTTATGTTACATTTTATGCAAATGTGACAGGACAGACAGAAACATGGGGACAATTGTAAATTTGTTTCTATTATATATTTGTAGTATTTATTTGTAGAATTTATTTATGATTTCATGTTTTTAATCAATTGGCGTAAATGATAACAACTTAAACTTTGCTATTTCTGATTTTTCTTACTTCTAAAACAGTTTTTAGCATAGCAACTACTAAGCTGTAGGTTCTTTTGGGCTGAGGACAAGGACAATGATAGGGTTTGACTTTGTTTATTTGTAAAGTGTTTTTAATAAAGAAAAAAAACTGAAAACCAAATGAATGACATACAGAACAACTCACAGAAATCAACCACTAGTTCATTTCAGATATTTTTTGATGAATTCTTATTCTTATCCAGTATTGATGTTTCTATTTCAGAGACGATTTCTGGTACAATGTCCTTATGACGTGACAAACATTTACATTCAAATAAGAACATCTTCAGAAATACATCACTAATGCAATTTTAAAGGATGTTTAAACTATGCAAGTAAGAAGGAGTGACATTAAACCAGCATTGCAAACACATTCTTAACTTATTTATTAATAAATATGCATTGCGCCTCATTGTTAAAAACTGCAGACTTGCGGAGGAACATTATTGTCGGACTACTTTTCTCTGTTTATGAATATGATGCATCACACAGGCTACTCCGGCAGGTATCGGCCCAGCAGCAGATTTACAATAGTGCCAAGGTAAACCCTTTTTGTGCTCACACTAATGATTCGCGATAAGACAAGGGTAAGTGGTAGCTAAATTCGCTCATTTAGGACAACTACAACATCAAAAAAGGCTAACGTTACGAACTATTCACTATGCTACTTGATTGTGACGTAAAAAGTGTCGAAACCGAAAATACGTTACCTGAAGAGTTGCTGTACGGTACCGCTGATAAATACAGATTAGCGTGCTGTACCCAAAACAACCACAACGTGTCACAGTAACACAAATGATAAAGAGAATACAGTCATTTAATTAGTTATAATTTAAGTCTAACTGTTACTTTTCAATTTTATGTTAGCCCAACGTTACTGTTGGAAAATCCAAGGAGTTTTCTTTTCAAAACTCGACGACATGGAGGCATTTCACGGAGATGTTGAGCCTATTTTGGATCTCTACGACAGGTAGGCCTAATAATAATCGATACTCTACAGTTTTCCTACAATATTTGTTGTTTTTCATGTATTTAATTTACAAAATGTGATAATACACTGAGGCCCTAGAACTCTGTAATGTTATTATTCAGTATAAAGACGTGTAACAAGTGATAAATCCAAAGGAATATTGCAAAAAGAAAACAAACCTACATTTTTAAACAAGTAATCACCTGAATGTTAGTTCTTTATACCTTTACAATATATTATGCTCAACAAAATGCAATCCAACATTACAACCCAATTTAAATAAACCCACAAAGTAGTTTATTCGTATTACTAATAGGCAGCTGCAGCAGCCCTACTGTCGATTCTGCCTGAAGAGCTTCTGTAAATATGAATATGAGAGCTAAATACTAACTCTATAGAGACAACTCTTACAATATACTGCAACAGAAACTGACATTTTCAAGAGGCAAAAGTAACCAAATGACATTCAGACATTCAGATATGCAGTATTTGACAAACAGTGTTGTGTAAACAAACACACAATTGAAAACACATCTCTAATATTTCTGTGACTATCACTGAAATGACAGGAAGGGAAATGACAGAGAACGCCCCATGAGTAATGAGGCCCATTTATGTGTGTGGGTTTTTCAAAAGTTGCCTTATCAGTCATCTGCAGATGGAGGCTTTGGGTTTCAGGTCCTTAATATCTCAAAAGGCTTAACATCCCATGCATTTCTGGCTCCATAGACTTCACACACAACTTAAAGTAAGCTTTTAAAGAGATAGTTCACCCAAAAATGAAAAGAATTACTCAATGTTTACTCAGACTAGATAAAATAATACCAACATTTTTCACTATATCTACCTTTGTGTTCAACAGAAGAAACAAACAGGTTCGGAACAAGTGTAGAATGAGTAAATGATGACAGAATGTTCATTTTTGATGAACTTTTCCTTTAATGTAAACAAGTCATTGGACGGTGTAATGAGTAACAACCCTGCAGTCTATCAATATCTAGCTATAAATTCAATATACATTTGGAACAGTTCGTATGTTTTTACTCAGATGTTAAAGTTCATGATGTTTTACATGCATTATTTACAGATTATTCACGCCATAACACATAGATATTGTGAACAATATTTGCAACAACATTTCAAGCTATTCAGGTTATACAGACAGAAACTTTATATGTGTTAAACACTTCTTCTGCCTATTCTGCAGTTCTATCCACTAAGGCTCATACTAATATGAACCAAATATTTTTTGTAATATTGTACTATTTCTTTAAAAAAATCGTTGCCAGTATTGGTGCCATTACAGTTCGTTGACATACAGCACTAAGATGCTCGACCTGAGTTTGATTCCCGGATCGAGGTCCTTGACCAATCCTTCCCCTCTCTTTGCTCCACACACACACACACTCCAGTACCCATTATACTGTCCTAAACATTAAAAGGTAGGGGAAAAAAACAAAAAAATACTTGTATATAAAAAACTTTGCAAGTAAAAATAATGTTTTTGTAGTGCCTTAATGGACAGTTAATTTTTGAAACTTAGCTTTTGTCTTATACAAGTCCCCGCAATAATTTGAATAATAAAGTTCCATTTTTGTTATAGAATATGGTGTCCTATGAGAAGAAAAGGGAATAAAGAGAGATCAACACTTCAATACTACTGCTAGTTCACTGATGAATTTTAATATTTAGTACATAGTAAATTTAATTTCTAAAAACAAACAAAAAAATCATTACTGAATGAACACTTTTAGCATATACAGTTGAAGTCAGAATTATTAGTGCTCCTGAATTATTAGACCCCCCTGTTTATTTTTCTTTACCAATTTCTGTTTAACAGAGGGAAGATTTTTTTTAACAGTTCTAATAAATAAATCTAATAAATCATTTCTAGAAAACTGATTTGTTTTATCTTTGCCATGATGACAGTAAATAATATTTGACTAGATATTTTTCAAGACATGCTGTGAAAATTTCCTTGCCCTGAGGCTAATAATTCTGACTTCAACTCGTATACATACATACTATATTTCAAATTCTTGACAGTCACAGAAATCACTGGTTTAATACTCACAATAAGGAAGCAAGCGCCCAGTAGTACAGCCTTTATTTTAACATCCAAGTCCAGTGGGAACTCAATACGAAAGTTGCTGTCATCAGCAAAGAATGTTGAAATGAAACTACTTTGCTCCTTTATGATTCGACCAATCGTCTGCCCATACAACAGGCTTTTTACCTAAAGGAAGACATTTAGTATTGCAAAGCACACAGTGGAACCTTAAATGTTATGTTGATAATTACTCACCCTCATGTCATTCCAATCTCCTGAGACCATTATTTATCTTTAGAATACAAATTAAAATATATTTTAGATAAAATCTGAGAACTCCCTCATCCTCCATAGACATCTATATTCCCAATGGTATGAAGTTACAAGATCTTGGTCCATATTGTCATGATAGCATCACACAGTTGCCGCAGATTTGTTGGCTGCACATTCGTGATGAGAATCTTGCCGTTCCACCACATCCCAATGGTGCTCTGTTGGATTGAGATCTGGTGTCTGTGGAGGCCATTTGAGTACACTGAACTTGTCATTTTCAAGAAACAAGCTCGAGATAGTTTACGCTTTATGACATGGTGTGTTATCCTGATTAGCAACAATACTCAGGTAGGCTGTGGCACTGACATGATGCTCAATTGGTACTGATGGGCCCAAAGTGTGCCAAGAAAAACCACCACCAAAGTGTGCCAAAACATTACCACCACCAGCCTGAACCATTGATTCAAGGCAGGATGGATCCATGCTTTCATGTTGTTGATGCCAAATTCTGATCCTACCATCTGAATGTCACAGCAGAAATGGAGACTCATCAGACCAGGCAACGTTTTTCCAATCTTCTATTGTGCAGATTTGGTGATTCTGTGTGAATTGTAGCCTCAGTTTCCTGTTCTTAGCTGATGGAAGTGGCTCCAGGTGTGGTCTTCTGCTGCTGTAGCCCATCTGCCTCAAGGTTCGATGTGTTGTGCAGTGATGCTCTTCTGCATACCTCAGTTTTAATGAGTGGTTATTTGAGTTACTGTTGCCTTTCTATCAGCTCAAACCAGTCTGGTCCTTCTCCTCTGACCTTTGGCATCAACAAGGCATTTGCACCCACAGAACTGCCACTCACTGGATATTCTCTCTTTTTTACCTCATTCACTGTAAACTGCTCGTAAATTTGCATCAATGAGCAGTTGGACAGGTTTACCTAATAAAGTGTATAATGCACATATATAATTCTGAATGACTCTGAGGCTCTGCACACAAAAGTATTCTCATAGGTTTATATTATTCACTTTGAACCACTAAAACACAGAATGTTTGAGGGTGTTTTTGGTCCCATTCAGCACTTTAAACGAGTCATAACCATTGCTGTGTATAGAGGATGATGGAGCTCTTGTGTTTCTAAGATAAACAAAGGTCTCGGGTTTATAGTCTGAGAACATAATTTTCCTTTTTGATTGAACTAAAACTTTATTACCAATATTATCTTGTCTGAAATGAAAGTTACCTCAAAGATTACTTCACTACAGCAATCAAAGGGAAGGAAGGGCCCATGGATTGCCAGCTGTACCTCATTATTGGGGCCTATGACAGAGAATTTTGGGTTCAAAAAGGACCAGTCTTGTTTTACATAGCCTATAGTTATTCCCGGGGGAGCCTGTATTGCAATCTGAGGAAGGAAATGAAAAAAAAATGGGAAAAATGTGTGCAACAGGTAGACAGACAACATATTGGCTATTTTAGACACCATGGGGTGTCAAGTTCATGAGCACTGGGAGGAAATCCTCAGTTTCTCAATTTCTCAGTAACAATGCAAAACCACTCTAACTGATTGAAGTGCACATGTAAAATAACAGCACATTCTTTGGTTTGTGCAAAAAATCAGATTCTATATAATACATATTAAACTCAAAAGGACATAGCAGTATGCTCATAAGAACCTTTTAATCACACGGTTAAAAATAGAATAACATGCTAATTTAGTTGAACACTGTCCCATAAAAAGAATTAGCTCATATCACTGCACAGCTGCTTCTCTGTTATTTTTGGCAACAAACATGCACTCATAACCCAACAACTAAACCCTTGCATACCTTTCTTTATAGCAGGATTACTTTCAATTTAAAAACTAAAACTAAAATTACTATCCTTACCTTCTGACTGTAAAAGAAGAAAGGCAGTAAGTAGAATAAACAAATATTAACCGTCCTTATATCACAGATGTCAGTTTTAACTTTCTCAGGTCTGTGTATTACAATTGTGACTTACATTACATCGCTATTCTAAGAAAAAAAAAAAGAATTATAAGCAAGATATAAATTCTGAAGGGGATCAGTGGTTAGCACTGTCGCCTCAAAGCAAGAGGGTCGTTGGTTCAAGTCTCGGCTGGGTCAGTTGGCATTTCTGTGTGGAGTTTGCATGTTCTCCCCTCCCATGTTGGCGTGGGTTTCCTCCGGGTGCTCCGGTTTCCCTCACAGTTCAAAGACATGTGCTATAGGTGAATTTATTAAGCTAAATTGGCCGTAGTGTATGTATGTGTGTGAATGAGTGTGTATGGATGTTTCCCACTTGGCGGCAGCTGGAAGGGCATCCACTGTGAGCAATTGTGAGTCGCAATTCTGGAAAAAATAAGTGCTTGCAAGATGTTTGAATTGTATTAACCTCATTTTTTACCAATGAGTGGATGCGGCCATTGCAGCTTAAATGTGTTGAGACTTCTGGTCTCAACTTACATTAATTTTTACCCATACAAAAACAACTGATTATGCAAAGTGGTATTTTTTTATTACATTATTTCAACTTGTAGTCAAATAGTTTCATAGTAGTTTAACTTTTTACTGCCTTTTTCCTTTTCAAAACAAACCTGGAACTGCATGGATATTACATTTCTTTTCATAGTTAACATACTAACACATCCCTTCCCTGCAGTGCATTACAGTGCCTATATTATATATAATCACTATATTATGCTAAATTGAAGCTAAACATATTTATGCTAATTAGTTAAGCAGTTATTATAAGGAGCAATTTATTAAGCAGTAGGTACAGACATTTTATTTAAATGCTAAATTAGTCTTGAATGTTAATGTTACCTCTTGTAGGTAGCATTGCATTGGTTTTTCCATCTGGATGACTTCTTGGCCCAAACTGTTTTCAATTCGCAATTTAAAATTGTGAATTGAACCTAAGACACTGCGTGCGAAGCAATCGCTCTCTTCTTTGACACGGTAAACCTCTTGCCCAATGCTGTTTTTGATCTCATACTGGTTGCTAGGCTGATAGCAGGTGAGTACTGCAGACAAATATGATCAAAGGTTGTTGATTTGAAATATCTTAGTTTAAAATGACATACAGGTAAAGTTATAGATCAGAAATGATCAACGTGTTAAGAATAAAACCAGAAAACACAATCAAAGAACTAAAAAAAGAAGACTTACTTTTTATACACTGAATTTTTTGGCGAACAAGGACCTGGTCAACCTGAAACGCACAAAAATTACACATCATAAACATTACACTAATCCTAATAAGCGCATTAGAGAATAGAGAGATGCTCACCTGAGTGAGATACTCAAGGCCAGGTGGTATTCCATAAGTTAAAATCACTGGTGGAACTGCAGGTGCTGGGCACATTTATAAAGAAGAAGGCAAAAACATCATTGTGTTTACAGCAATTGCTCTAAGTACCTCTAAACTATTCAACACAGTACTTAAAGGTGAAGTATGAATGATTTTCAATGTTACTTACTTATGGGGTCATTTATATTGAAGTTGATATTTAGCCGCACTATATTGGTGTTTCGTAACATCTAGCTCTTTATGAGGTGGGTTGTCAGCCCAATGCTCAACCCCCAACCTGGAGGTCCAGGACATACACGCATACACTACGGACAATTTAGCTTACCCAATTCATCTACAGCACATGTTTTTGGACTGTGGGGCAAACCGGAGCATCCGGAGGAAACCCACAGAAACATGCAAACTTCACACAGAAATGCCAACTGACTCAGGTGAGGCTCGAACCAGCAAGCTTCTTGCTGTGTGGCAACTGCGCCATCGTGTTGCCTCTTTTTTCAATGTTACATTATAAAAATACACTCGACTAAGTTTGTTTTAATCATTGACTACAATTAAACACAAAGCCTCCTGGCACCAATCAAAGCATTAATCTGTCAATCACTTTTTAGTTTAACCTATAGAGTGAGATTGGGGTATGGCTACTTCTACAGTTAGTCTGAGCCAGATTGTTTTACGTGTCTCAAACCATGTCTGACATGTTACTAAAAAAAAAAAAAAGCTTAAAAAACTTGCCAAAAATGCAGAAAAAGACAATGCGGTAAAAGAAGGATAAAGTTGGCAGTTTTCATAAGGCATTTTTTATTTTGTTGTCTCAGTCTGTTGTCATCAACTTCTTTCTGAAACTGATTCTTTGAAAAGCATATGGATTTTGTACATTCCCCAATCCCAGCTTACCTAGGTACATGGTGTTTGCATTAAAAATCATATAGATTTTAACAATTTTTCAAACTGCATTGTAAGATGTTAATCAGCTAACATAGTGTGCACTGTGATTGGGTAATTTATTCACATCACACAGACAAACACCAGCAAACAAGTTGACCATTTTATTTAGATTGGTGTGAATGTAAAAATACTATTGCCCCAACAATTGCCACACACAAAAATTAAATAGTTTTATTCAATTATCCTTCTCAAGATTAAAAAGACATAATAATAATAATAATAATATTTTTTTTTTATATAGCGCCTTTCCAGAGCTCAAGGACACTTTACAAAGAATGAGAAAAAAAGATAAACAAACATACAGGAAGTCAAATATAACAAACTGGAATTACACAAGCAAGACCTAGGAGACAAGTGAGCAGAGCACAGGTGGATTAGATAAAGTGGACAGTGTGGCAGATCAGAAGTGAAGCATTTTTAAAAATAAGAGTCTTAAGTAAGGATTTAAATTCAGAGATTTATTAGCAGAGCGGAGTGAGCGTGGTAGAGAGTTCCAGGGTTTGGGTGCAATAACACTAAATGATCTGCCCCCCATTAAACAGAGGCGGTACCGAGGGACAGCTAGAAGGCCAGAGTCAGCGGAACGTAATGAACGAGTTGGGGTATAGGGGACAAGCATGTTGCAGAGATAGTAGGGCGCTAGGCTATTTAGGGATCTAAAGGCAAGGAGGAGAATTTTGAATTTGCGGTATGCAACTAGGAGCCAATGGAGGTCGTACAAGATTGAGGTTATATGAGCAGAATGTTTAGTATGAGTGAGTATTCTAGCCGCAGAGTTTTGAATACACTGTAATCTGGAGATGAGGTTGGCTGGCAGACCAATGAAAAGAGCATTAATAAATAAATAAAAAGACATCTACCTGAAGCCTATTTGGTCCCTGATCAGATTATGTCTGAGTTGCCATTTGTTGGAAAATCATATCAAACTATCTAGACATTCCATAATCCAACAAACACTGATTGAATTTATTTAGTTCAGTGTAAACAAACTCCAACCAATGGCAACAGATGTCAACTGGTAAAACATTGACCCAACGAAATACGACAGAATTCTTTGTTGGAGTTCATCTTTGTGGTGTGAACTGGCCTTTACATTATCGTTTCCCCCTCACTATACCATTTATATGTTACTTACTTTCCACCTCAACCAATAGCAAGTGTTGGGGTGTGGCTATACTGTAGCAGATATTTTGTGAGTTGCCATTGTGGGACCATGGCTGACATGTTGCATTCACTCCCAAAAATTAAGGTACAAAAGCACACAGTGGTGGTAAATGATTCAATGCATGGGGATTATTTGACTGATTTTAAATTATTAAAGGACAGTCAGAACTTTTGTTGATCATTTCATGTGAAGGACGCTGTTTGTTACAGTATAATATAAGTTGCCCTTGAGTATACTGAGGAATTAGCATCCACACTGATGAGACTGTAGGTTAAGCACCCCTGCTGGTCTCACAAACACCACTTCTGGCGTCAACCTAGTTCTCCTTGGGGGACTCCCATAGGTATTGACCAAGTCTGTCTTGGGCTCCAATGTGACAGCTATGATACCACAAATACCATCTGACACTAATAGCATATAAACTACATACTTCACCTTTAACTTGCATCAAAAGTCAGGATATGGTTAATTGTGTGATTTATGAGAGAACAATTTTTGTTAAATCTGAGTTTTTAACATTATTCATACTTTTTAGATTTAATGTTAATCTTGTGAAGCCAAATGTTTTTCAACTTTACCTGGATATGCTTGAACTTGCGCTGGATTATTTGGATCACACTGGTTTGTGATTAGTTGAGCTGGTGGTGGCTGATTTTGTTGCTGGAGTTCTGCATCTGAAGAAGTCGATGGAGGACTTTTTCCCTGAGGCAAGGGATTTGGAAGAGTGTTTTGGACTGGATAGCCTAGTTTAAGAAAAAGTTGTGCTTGTTTGTGAAATTATTTTATTCGATGTGCTTGTGTTCTGATTACTAAATTAACACACAACAGAACAAACAAAATGATTGGAAAATGTCTAATTTCACTGTATATGCAAAGCAGGGCCTTTATTTTAGTGGGATATATTCTGTGGCATAGGTTCAGTAGGATGCTGGAAACTTGACTAAGATGTACATAAGGATGTTCTATTGAATCAAGATCTTGTGAGAGGCAATTTGAGTACAAATGCCCTATTTCAGAACACATTGTTATATTCAAGAAACTAGTTTGAGATGATCCGAGTTTGTGTCATGGGACATTAAGTAACCATCCCACTTGATGATTAAATTGATTTCATGAAGGGATTGACATGGTCAACAAGAATACTCATTTAATAATGTCACTGAATATATAATATGGGCCACAAAGTGTGATAAGAAAATAAACTCCACATCTACAGCCTAAAAGCAAGATTTCAATCCATGTTTTCAAATTCTCACCCCTAACCATCTCAGTGTTGCAGAAGAAATTGAGAATCATCAGACCAGACAAACTTTCTCCAGTATGCTTTGCTAGTGCGTATGAACTGTAGCCTTAACGTCTCCTTAGCTGAATAGAGTAGTACTGGTGTCTACTGCTGCTGTAGCTCATCTGCTTCAAGGTTTTTATTTTTGTCTTTTTTTATTATGACAGGACAGTGACAGGAAACAAGGTTGAGGAGTGAGAGGGGCGATTTGACCAGAAAATGTCCATGAGCCAGGAAGCAATCTCAGGCCACCCTAAGCACAATGACACTACATGTCACGTTCTACCCACAAGGCTATCGGCACCAATGATCTACTTCAAGGTTTGATGTGTTACGAATGCAAATATGCTTTTTGCACTCCTCGCATGTTGTAATTTAAGTTGTAAATCTGTCAGTGCAAACTCATCAACCTAATTCTCCAACTTTTGACATAAACAAGCCAATTATTCCTACAGAATTGCAGCACACTTAATATTGTTCACACCATTTGTTGTTAGCCTTGTTAGCCTTAGAGATCGTTGTACATGAAGGTCTCAGTAGATCAGTTTTTTCTGAAATACTCCAATCAGACCATCTAACCATATCCGAAATCTCCTAAATTACCATTTCTCTCCATTCTAATGCTCAGAAGAACTTTTGTAGATCTTCTTGACCACTTAATGCCCTTAATGGATCGAGTTGCTACCACATGGCTAATTAGATATTTGCATTAACACAAGATGAATAGATGAGTAAACATTCCTTCAGTGTTTACCTGGATATGGCTGAACCTGCTGAGTTGCTAGATTACCTGCACCTTCCTGAATTAGGACTAGTTGAACTGGTGGCTGATTATTTGACTGGAGGCCTGCAGGTAGAGTAGCCCCTCCAGGTACTCCTCCAACAGGATAGTTGCGCTGAACTACTGTGTAGCCTAGTTTCAAACAAAAGTTTAAAACAAGTATAAATGGCTTAACTTGGTAAAGTTCTCGATCCCTTTGTGAAGACTGATTCAAGGGATTCTGACCTGGAAGGGTTTGAGTCTGTGGCTGAGGCCCTGCAGGTAGAGGAGTTGGTGCAAGACTTGCTGGCTGAGACGTGACAGTTTGAAAGTTGTTTTGTACTGGATTGCCTTATTTCAGGTAAAAATGAATAAAGAACATGAAACTCTTTGAGCATGAAAAGGATAGTTCTTCTAAAAATGAAATTTACTCACTATTTACTGACCCTCAAGTGTTTCCAAACCTCTATTCATGAGTTCACACTCACAGATATTTGACTGAATAGAATATGTGTATTTGGCGTGCTGACTGGGGAGAGGGCTCTAAGCTTTGTGAGTCATCCTAACTCGTGTTATTCACCTTATCAGTATAGAAAAAGATAGGGTCTGAGCGCAGTGTCTAACCTGGCACCAGAACGCTCCCCCCTCAGATTTAAGTAGGTATCGGGTTTAATGGTGTGGAGTTGGGGTGGTGGAGGGATGCTGAAGTCAAGAGAAAATAGAGGTATGACGTGTTTGACTATTTATAGGGGTTTGGTCTTGAGCTAATAATTGAAAAATTGTCAATGATGAATTAGCCTCATCAAAAACTGATTGTGCTGCTACCGAAATTTGTTTATAAAACATCACTAAGTTTCACAAATACACAAAAGAAGATTTTGAAGAAAGCTGAAAACTAGAGGTGAAATGAAACCATTACCTTCCACAGTGGGAAAAACAATTACTATATAAATCAGTGGTTACAGGTCTCCAACAGACTTCAAAATGCAATGTAAAGAAATAAAGGAGCTCTTAACAGGTTTATAACAATTGATGGATGAGTAAATGATGAGAGAATTTTTTAGTTTTGGGTGAATTATAGCTATAATTGGCGAATTGTAGTATATTATTTTTGCGTGTGTGTTCTGGGTCATTGATTTATGAAATTAGTTTACCTCCAGATGACTGAATGGGGTATGGCACTACTACATTGACTGGACTAGTCTGATTCAAGACTGACTGAACTTGAGGTGTTTGATCCTTAGTCTGGAGTCCTGCAGATGGGGGATCTGGTGTAGGCTCTTAAGGAGAATAAAAACAATCTGGTTAGTTTGGTAATCTGACATTTCTCTTGATTGAGCCACTATTTAAAATGAAAGAATCAGTCAATGCTTTAACTGTGTGCAAAATATTTTCATTAGCTTAATTATCATGAAAGCTTAATTTCCTCATGACTTGTGGAAATCAAAATATTGCATAGCACTGCATATACTCTACATAAATACTGCACAACACGTTTTTCGTCTCTTTGTATATCAAATACTTTGAATATACTCTTACCATCATAGATCTGATCCTCAATAAATTCATAAATTGGTTCAGATTGTATTTCCATTGGAGGTGGTTGTTTATCTGGAGCAGGATCTTCAGATTGAGACAAAAGATTTGGAAGGTTATTTTGAGGTGGACAACCTACTTTTAAGACATGATTAAATAAAGAGAGAAAAACTGTATGTAAGATGTTTTTTTTAGTTTGAGCTACTGTTTTGACGTGATGCTTCTGCTGGATTACTTGAATCGGATTGAACTGGAGGTTGTTGGTTGTCTGGCTCAAGTTCTGTGGCTGGAGGAGCCGATGCTGGTTCTTCTGGCTGAGACATGGGATTTTCTTGCTGGTTTTCAGCCTAATCTGAAACAGTATTTGATAAAAAAAAAAAGCCTATTCTGGGATTAATCATTTTATGTTCTTTATCACCGAGTGTCATTTTCTGGGTTTTAGATCACAGTTTTTACACAGATTAAATCGGCAGGAGTTTGCGAGGGGTTTGAGAGTATTTTGGTCTGTTCATTAAACAGAGCTGTCTCTTGGCCTACTTTTTCTCTTAACGTAGAAACTGCTGTTCACTGCTGTTTACTGAAGCATTTAAATGCGAAGGCTTAAGCATGAGATGATGAAAGATTAAACAAGCTTTTACAATGTTGTAACTTTTCCATAGAATGTGGTAAAACATGTTATGCAGTCCTTTTCTTTCTCTTTTGTGATCTATTTTTACACTGAAAGATTGTCTGCTTTGACAGATTACTACAAGATCACTACAAGAACGATGCATATTGTCTGCTAATTTAAATATAAAAACTGGCACAATAAAACTATGACTAAAAACTGAATAAATCACTGTCAGTAACAGTATTTATCATTTAATCAAATTAAACTGATTCTGACTGCTGGTGACAGGTTTTTTTTTTAAGAAAAGCAGCACAATCACAACATCCACTGAGTTAAATATTATGCAAACACAACACTGTAAAAATTATTTGATCGGTAAGCCATGAAAATATCTTTGATAATTTAACTTAAATTATATTCATAATTTTTAGATTTTCATTCATTCATTCTTTTGTCAGCTTAGTCCCTTTATTAATCCGGGGTCGCCACAGCGGAATGAACCGCCAACTTATCCAGCAATTTTTTTACGCAGCGGATGCCCTTCCAGCCGCAACCCATCTCTGGGAAACATCCACACACACACAATTATACACTACAGACAATTTAGCTTACCCAATTCACCTGTACCACATGTCTTTGGGCTTTGAGGAAACCGGAGCACCCGGAGGAAACCCACGCAAAGGCAGGGAGAACATGCAAACTCCACACAGAAACACCAACTGAGCCGAGGTTCGAACCAGCGACCCAGCAACCTTCTTGCTGTGAGGCGACAGCACTACCTAATGCGCCACTGCCTCGCCCCATTTTTAGATTTTACTTCTCATAATATATTTAGCATGCTTTAAGCCTGTTTTATGAAATCCAAGTTTAAATGATTTGAAATTTTAATTTGACTCCTAAAAATGAAGGCAGCAAATAATTTTAGTACTTTATTTTACACTTACCTATTAAAACTCTGAAGGTTTTTCCTCTTGAGATGCTCCACAAATATGCCCTTTTTAGAGGAGTTCCTTTGTGTTGGAAAAAATTGTAGGAAGCAGGAAAATAATACTAAGCTTGCATTGAAGTAATGCTGGCACCTGTGATTGTGCTGTTATCTTTAACATCTATTTATGGTTTCAGTTCTTAGCGTTTCCCCTCCCCTTTTCTGTCTCATTCAAATCAACAACCAAAGAGAAGAGAAGTTTTTTTTTTTTTTACATTACCCTGACCCATCCTACTAGTCTTATCTTAGGAGATAAAATATGATCCAGACCCAAAAATCTGCAACATTCACACCTACAAAATGCAACACTACATTAATAGCATCTACTGTAAAGTATGACACGGTGTAATCGCTGCTGTAAAATGTAATCTAAGCTGATGGTCAAATCTGATTTGCAGACTCAGATTTCTGTTAAAGATGAAGCTGTGAAAAAGTGGCTGTAATGTGGGTAAACAGGTTGTACAACAGCGAGTGGATCTTGTTGAGGTAATGATGTCAGCTATTGTTAAGTTTCGGAGCATAATTAATGTCCAATATGTGAAACTTGTAACAAAACTGAATGAAAAATGTCAGGGCTGTTGAACCGTCTGCCCTGTGAATGCCAGTCTTTGTGTTTGTGTATTGACGCAAACCATAAGGAATGTGCATTTTTGTGCAACACTTGTAAAATTGGCAAAACTATTGTTTATTATTGAAATTACTGTGAGTGCAAGCTGTTTTAGTTTTGGTTTGCAGTCTTTCATATCAGTTTATACATTAGGAGTTCTACACCAATATGTGCAAATATAAAAATGATTCTGTGATGCACTAAATATTACAGTAAACCAAATTGTATTAAAGGGAACCTATTTTATGCTTTTTTGTTAGATTTTAGATAAGTCTTTTGTCTCCAGAATGTGTCTGTAAAGTTTCAGCTCAAAACACCCATCAGATCATTTATTATAGCGTTCAGAATAGTAGAATTATTTGCTCTCAGCTTCTTGTAGCTTTTTTTTGTTGCCTGAGCCTTTAACACTAGTTCTCCCTGCTCACCATTCCCACATGCCTGTCAGAATGTACCTCAATCTCCGCCTCTGCTGCGTCAGATAAGCAACAGAGTCACAGACATTAAGCAAGCAGATCTCACATAACGTTTGTCAGAAATACTACAGTAAGAACTTTCCCAATGATTATTTGATGTATTTGTTGTGGAGTTAATTCAAGCCTTTCTGCAACGATGACAAACACACAATGTCATTACAAAGTTCACACACATAGCGTGCACTTTTACCTTTGCACTGTTTTTGCATGGCAACAGTGACATGATACACATGAATATACACTGCTCTATGGACTTCTATTATGTTAATGTACAAAATAAACCTGATTTGATTGTAATGGCATGTGGCTGTGGTGATAAAGAGTAAAATGCACTGTTTAAAAAAAGTTTTAAACTTGTAAAACTCATTCTTGATCGATTGATGATCACAGAGAGCTGAAAAGGTCTTTTAATCAGAGTTGCATTGTGCACGTCCTGCCTTGTTGATACAATTATACATGTTACTACGGATACATGTTAATACACGGCGGTCAATCAGTATGGTGGGCAGAGAAACCGCACTCCTACGTCACATTGTGGTGGGCCTCAAAATGGAAGGGATTTGGATCCTATTTTAATGTCAGGAATTGTAAAAAAAGGATACTTATTGTGTTTCTATTACTCCAGTATGACTGTGGACACGCTATACCTCCACACAGTTCGGCCTAAAAAGCTTACAAAAGATGATTTTCATCATAGGTGCCCTTTAAACAGACTTGTAGAAATAAAAATCATATTACTTGAAATTCTTTGTTATTTTGATGGAAATCAAAATAAAATGAAGTACATCGGGCTCAACTTTCTTATACTGGTGTTCCCATCTCCAGTTCTCTAGTTGTAATTTCCTTGTTTTGTCCTTGCTCTTGGCTGTTATAGTAACTTGCTGGTTTTGTGACAGCTGGAGTTTATTTTTTACTCAAAATAGCACAGTCATATTAAAAAAAATTATTGTTGGGGTGTCTGGTTACATATATTTTACATAATTTTTTGCTACATCTGTAATGCTATCAAATAGATTGTAACAAGACATCAATAGTTTGTTTATTTTAAGTTGAAGCTTTAAATTCAGCACTACACTAGGTTTGTTTGAACAAAATTTGAATATACTTTGGATTTTTGCAATTATAAATATTCTAATTCATACATGACCTTTACTATAAATCCAGAGTTGTCTTTTTGAGTGTAAATGCAGTAAAAATATAAATCACGCAAACCACCGACATAAGATTACGCATTTATTATGTAAAATGTTACTACTCGTTTTGCCTATTAGGCAAATAAATACAGTCACATTAACAAGAAATCATATATGCATGCATCTCTATTGGTCATCTAAACAGACAATAAACAAAACGTTTTTAAACATGGCTAATTATTTTCAGTATATTGCCCTTTTGGTATAATGCTAGTTTCTACACAACCAGCCAAGACTACAATGTCAAAATATGGCATAAAATAGCAGGCAAATACCCAGAAATATTTAGGAGCATCTTAGATTTACCTCTTACCGGTCACCTAAGTTCACTCTTGAAAATTATAGATCATATATGCATATTCTTTTTATAGTATGTCAATAGATGTTCAGGTTTAGACATTTTTTTTGTGTAGATATGTACTGTATCAAGCGCCCTCTGTAGGACACTTCTTCATTTCCTGGAAAAAAAACTATTATTACAAAATGACATTCTATCTGCTTTAAATCTACAAACACAAACAAAAAATAAATCTACTTGCTTTTTTCCTTCTCTCAGCTGTTGCCGGAGTCAGTAAATTATTAAAGTGTAACTCGTTATGTAACCTCTTCATAATGTCATATTTGGCTGTTGTAACAAAAGGCTATACATTTACCACAATAAAACTTAAATTCCAAAAAAATATATATATGTACTTTATGCAAGAGATAGGTTTAGAAAAAACATCCACATAGTTGCATGTAACGGTGTATGATATTTTTAGTAACAAAGGTGTATAAATGCATCTGCTTGTACTGCTGGAACAGTGGTTTGTAATTACTGTAGGCAGTGAGTGTGTAAAAGGCACCAGTGGACAGTTATTCATGATGACATCATGCTTGTCAACGTAAACATTTCTGATCACATGAACGCTATACAATAACCCTCAGCGTGTTTCTGGTTGCAGTGCAGTGGCAGTTGTTGTAGGCTTTGGTGGCCAATGTAGAAAATTAACAAAATCCAGAATATGAGGTCATCCAGTGGACGTAGTTTAAAAAAAACCAAACCTGAAAATCCTCCAGACTGATCTGTTAGTTAGAAAATAAGCAGATTTGTGAGTAATGTGTTAGGAGCTTTAAGAGAACACAGTGTTGCGCTGGTTTGTGTCTCCAACTTTCTCAAAGAACATAAAATCCTATGAAAAAGAAAAAGAGAACAAGAATTGTAGAGTCAGAACTGACCATTTACAGTGTTCTTATTACAAGTTTACATGCACTTAATGCATTAACAGTAAATTAAATTATGCATAATTCTTGCATGCAGTAACCCAAACCTCATTTCATTCATGTTTTAATTAATATTACTCAGTACTTTAAATGTAAAGCACAGTATAAAAAGAAGACATTTAGTACATTATAAGAGTGTTTAATTAATAAAATGGCATTTAAATAAAAAAGTAAATATAATGTCATAAAATTGGTGAAATCATGTTCCATCACTATTCAGTGTCATAGATCTATTTGTGTAAATTTCTTCTTAAAAAAAAAAATACATACATACATACATACACTTACACCAACCGGCCACTTTATTAGGTACACCTTACTATTACTTGGCTGGACCCGCTTTTGCCTTCAGAACTGCCTTAATCCTTCATGGCATAGATTTAACAAGGTACTGGAAATATTCCTCAGAGACTTGGTTCATATTGACATGATAGCATCACGCAGATGCTGCAGATTTGTTGGCTGCACATCCCTGATGCAAATCTCTCGTTCCACCATATCCCAAAGGTGCTATATTGGATTGGGTTCTGGTCACTGTGGAGGCCATTTGAATTCAGTGAACTCATTGTCATGTTCAAGAAACCTTTTGGATGATTCACACTTTATAATGCGTTATCCTGCTGGATGTAGCCATCAGAAGATGGTCACACTGTGGTCATAAAGGGATGGACATGGTCAGCAACAATACTAAGGAAGGCTATGATGTTGACATAATGCTCAATTGGTACTAATGACCCCAAAGTGTACCAAGAAAATATCCCCCACACCATTACACCACCACCAGCAGCCTGAACCATTGATACAAAGCAGGATGGATCCTTGTTTTCATGTTGTTGATGCCAAATTCTGACTCTATCTTCCAAATGTCACAACAGAAATCAAAACTCAGACCAGGAGTGGCTCCTGGTGTGGTCTTCTGCTGCTGTAGCACATCCGGCTCAAGGACGTGTTGTGTAATCAAAAATGCCCTTCTGCATACTTCGGTTGTAACGAGAGTGGTTATTTGAGTTACTGTTGCCTTTCTATCAGCTTGAACCAGTCTGGCCATTCTCCTCTGACCTCTGGCATCAACAAGGCATTTGTGCCCAGATCATCTTGACCATGTCTACATGCCTAAATGCATTGAGCTGCTGCACATTTGGACAGGTGTATCTAATAAAGTGGCTGGTAAACGTATAAACATTTATAGTTACATATATGCAAAGAAGTGATCATACTAACATTTTATTAGAATTCCTCGCAAATTAGTACATTTTTAAAGAAAAGTGGCAAAGTATAAATATTTTAAATGATAATGATTTTGTTGCATTGTGACCTTTTAATATTCTTTAAATGTTTACTTTTACAAATATTTTAACTATCATTATATTGACATGGCTGTCCGCTGTAAATCATAATAACATATATGACAGTCCCAATTTCTTAAGAACGAACAAACAAATGAATGAACAAAGATAAATTAATAAATTGATTAATATTTTGTAATGTAACAGTGTGCGTTCTAAACCTGTTCTACACATTTATTGTTTTAAGGCTTTTAAATCCCCATTTGGTTATTGATCCAGCTATCAATACGGGAAAGGGAGTAATTTGATTTATTGACTGCAAAATGGTCAATGAGATGTAGTCTCATGTGTAACGTAAAGCTATTATCAAGTATTATCTTATGATCTAGTGCATCCGAAACCAGGTCCTGTAGTACCTCAACAGTACAGAGTAGAATCCGAAACGGACCTTATCTAAAATGACTTCCCTCCTAGGTAGGATGTGAAAAACAGCATGTGAGCAGATCGGTAAATCTGAATAAAAAGCTGATGAGTTGAATCAGTTGTGTTTTATTTGGGAGGCTTTAAAAAAAAACTTCAGAGCTGGATTGAAAAGCACTGATCTATGGTATGGATAATTAATTGTACCATTAGCTCAATACTCACGATAAGAAAGCAAGTTCCCATAAGTACAGCCTTCATCTTAACATCCATATCCAGAGGGAACTGAATACCGAAGTTGTCGGCGTCGGTAAAGACTTCCTTCAACAGACCAGTCCACTGCTTACTGATCCGACCAATAGGCTTCCCAGTGCCATCCTTGCCTTTGAGCTTAAAATAAAACAATTCATTAATGTATTATTTGTGTACGTTTGTACATAATAAACATTTGCACAGTATCCACACATTTATTATGTTTTGGATGTAATTAATCATTGGACAGCACTAGTAGTAGTAATAATAGTAATACCAATATTATTAATAATAATAATAATACAAATTCACAAAGAGAGCATAGGTCTGCCAGTTCTGAAAATGTTATTATAATATTTGCCTTTGAATTTTGTATATGACAAGAGAAACAACATTTCACTTTTATTCTAATTTAATAACTTTACCTCAAAGTGTACGTCTCCACAGCAGTTGCAGGCCATGCAGGGCCCCTCAAGCTTCATCACAGTCTCCTTGTTGGGTCCCATGATGGAGAATTTGGGGTAACAGGGGTGCCAGTCCTGCTTTACGTAGCCTATGGGGGTTCCCGGAGGGGCCTGAATCTCCATCTGAAGGAGAAGTTTTAGAAGGAAGACACTGCTGTTATTTATATGCATAAGTATTAATGTATCTATTTGCAAAATTATACTCGTGTTCAAAGCTTTGGAGTTGGTAAAAACATTTTAAAGAGACGTTTCGAAAATAAAAACATGTATCTTACGCTCAGAGAGACTACATTTATTCCATCCAAAATACAGTTTAAATACATTGTTTGTTTGTGTTGTTTGTTTATTTATTTAGCGCTTTTACAATGTAGATTGTGTCAAAGCCGCTTAACAGAAGTTTTAGTAAAGTTCAGTTTGATTCAGTTCAGTGTGGTTTAAATTTTACTGCTGAAAGCTCAAAGACTGAAGAGCTGAAAATAGCTTTTGTTGATTATTATTTTCTTTAGAAATCATTTTAATCATCATATATCATCAATATTCAAAATAGTGCATTTAATATTGTAGTGAAAACATTGTTTCAGAAGCATTTGGATTAACATAAATATTGAATAAATCATTGTAATGTTGATGTTGGTGCATTTAAACTACATAAACTAAAGAGAGAGTGCGTGACTGCTGACTTTACCCTTGAAGGTCCCTACAGACTTTGTGCCATTTATAACTCGTAAGTTACACACGTTCATGTCAGCAGATCACCCAGCACTTCCTTTAGACATGCGGTCACTAGGTAAGACTACAACACATGGTCAAATCATAACTGTATTTAACAGATTTTTACATTTTCGCTTTTACTTATGTAACCTTATAGGTCAAAGGAAAAGAATGTATATTAAATGCAAGTAAAGCATCTGCTTTAATGTTACAAATAACATAAAAATGAAATATAAGGGTGAAATAATCCATTATCATTCATAATCATTATCATATCATTGATTCTGACCTGCATTCGTTATATTAATGAATGAATGATCATAATTACCTTTTTAAAATATTCGTCACCATGCCCTTGCTGGCAAACTTATAAAAGTTGGTTTGAAGGATAGTGGCACAAAACTAAAATAAAGATGTTGGTCAGCCAATCATTCTTGCTCTAACTGTTGCATGACAAGATTTGAATTGAATTGTTTCTGATCTGCTATTTGGGTTTTCTAGTAACAGATTCCGCTTGTCTTTTTAAAGGTTTTGTACCCTCAAGGCTTTCACTTCCTCCACCAGGCCAATGATCATATTCTGCTGTTTTCTAACCAACTGAAACTTTCTCTGTCAACATGTCTAGCGATATCATTAACCACCTCCACCTGCGTGTTAAACAAAAAGATGACTTCCCACCAAAAAAGCTTATTTTTTATAGCATAAGCTCAGCGCCAGCCCACGCTCTCTCCACAGAAAGTCCACTATATAGTTGTGCTTTACACCATGTCTTTTGTGAATCATAGTAAAATGCATGGAATTTGATCAATTTAAAAGTTGTATATTGTTCAGGGTCCCCAATTTGTGAAGTTTCACAAGCTAATTTCAAGAGGAGCATGTGATATGATTGACTAAAGCTGGCCACTCATCTACAATTATTAGCTAGCCAATCAGATTGATCCAAACTCACTATAAGTAGCCTAGTTAGAACTCCTCCCTTATCTTCGGTTTTCCGAAGAAACCCCCCATCCACCCCTTCTCCTCCTTTCCTCCTTTACCAGGGGAGCTCTCGAGAACCAGCTGATCTCGTACTCCCCTCACATGCTCTATGGACCAGACGGGAACCCTGGGCTCAACTATCTCCAAGCTCAGGGTTCTCTCCCGGGACAGCATGCCAAACCTGCTAACTTCCTAACAATATCTAAGTGTGAACTCTTGAAAAGCCAAATAACAAAATCCCCTGACTTAAAAGGCAGAATTTCCATGACAGCTAATGATTGGGAAAAACAGGCCACAGTTGTGCTTGTATATTAATAAGATATGTTAAAATAAGATAATATTAAATAGTTATAGCTTGATAAATTGCAAGACTTCAATAGTCAATATCAAATTGCTGCAAAGATCTCCCTCCCCTATATTTAATAGCTCGATAGGAGTTTTATGAACTTTATTCATTTTGCTTTTCGGTCATCTACTTTTCAACACCCAGTCTTTAAAATAGCCATTTTAAAGCCAAAGCTCTTAAAACTTATATTATGCTGGAATGTTACGCTTGGTAAATGGGAGCATGAAAAAAGTAAAATGGAAAAACCCCAACCATAACAAACCGCACAAAACAGCTTGACATGGAAAAATTAAGTTTCGATAAATGATAAATAAAATTAAGTGACAAATCACAGATTTTGCATGAATTGTCAAAAAATACCCTAACTTTCAATGTGTTGAATAAATGTTTAATAAATGTTTTCACATGTACGATAGCACCAGTGTGATCAGCCTAGGCTGGTCCCTGAAGTGTACGATCACACCGGTGTGATTAGAATGTTCAGAGCGCATGGCATCACATGCTAAAATTTTAATCTGACTGCGTGTGCTGAGGCACAGAAACAGGTGAGCAGCGCTTGTCATAAATCACAATTTATCTGTGCTTTCAAACAAATAACATTGAGTTTAGATTTCAGACGTTCAAATACATATAACTACTGTATTGTTTATGTTACTAGAATATTTTTTCTATTCCTCTTGCAGATAAACTGTTGCCTACCTTCATGTATCTTGAAAGAAAATTATGAATAAACATGACCTAAATCCTGCAGCTCGGCCCCATCTAGACTTTATCATGCTGCAGGAGAGTGAGAAGTCTAGATGGAATACAGCCGAGGATATTTGCGTCAATATAGCGTAATGTTTGTGACACTGTACAACAAATTATATTTTTACATTAACGTGAGGGTTGGGTTTAAGGTATCTGTAGACACTAATAAATACAGTGGCACTCATTATCTGTCATATAACAAACAATACTACCTTTATTAAGCGGTTTAAAAGACAAAATATATCTTCTATCAAATATTTTTGAATTGGAGTATCAGAAATTTTACAATATAATAAGAAAATTTGACAATATTTACAGAAAAGGGCAAAAAGAAAGATAATACGATATATAGATATATCATTGAGGCTGGTGAGTCACGTGATAAACTTGACCCATCACCGTGGGAACTTTCGAACACAATGGATTCCAAGTAATTGTAAAACAAACATCACATAGGAGTGTTAGGTGGAGTATTTAAAACTCATGTTGGAAAAAACCCTCATATTCCAGAAATTGCATGACCTGTGGGAACCCTTATTATTAAAACTCTGACTGATTTGATGCTGTAAACCCCATTTTGTCTTGGACCGTAGCGCTGCATTTCCCTGATCTGTTACATGGCCTGTCTGACATACCTCTTGCAGGCAGCAGGGGCACCAGCAGGACACGCAGCGGTAAGGTCGGATCAGTCGTATGACCTCTCGGTCCATATTGTCTTTGATCTTCATGTCAAAGCTGCGCAGGGCACCACAGCAGTTGCGTGTGCAGCAGTCATTTTTCTCTTTGGCGGAGTAGATCTTCTGACCCAGACTGTTCTTGATCTCGTACTGGTTGTTGGTCTCGAAGCCAATGAATGCTGAAGATGACCAAAAAAACATGCAGGGAAGTTCAGTATGTTCAAGATGAGTTCAGGAAACCTATGAATAAGTAAATCTCTGGGTTTAAACCAAATTAGGGGGTTTTCACACTTTGTAGGTGTGAAACAAACTCATGCTCTGTTAGTGCTGCCATCTCAACTGTGATTCACACCAATCCAGTTGAAAAGCGTCTTTTATACAAACAAATGGTTCGACTGGAATATGAATGCAACATGGACCAAAGATATCCATTTAGACCAAAAAACAGCTCACAAGGTCCCAAGATGTGACCTTAACGAGGACAGAATGCTCTAGCACAGTGGTTCTCAAAGTTTTTGCACCAAGCACCACCTCAGACAAAAATGGTCTGTAAAAGTACCACCAAAAGAACCACCATAATGACCAGTGTTGAAATACAGTAGGCCTAATTAAGCAGCTACAGCACTGCACAGTACAAAAATGAGGCAGATTAAATCTTATTGTTAAGAATATGTATTATTGTCAGCCACTTTAAACATTACAAATAGTTTAAACTACAGAATTAACTGTGCTTGCAGACAAAATAAAAAATAAAAAACACTTCACTGTTTAAATTAGAATGTGCTTTTAAAATGTAAATAAAAATGCCACTGCTCTTAAAAAGTAACAAGAATCAATGGATAGTAGTTTATTCATCAAAACCTGGAAATGTTGCTTGGACCAGATAAATATAGGCTTTGTCTGTCTGTCTGTCTGTCTGTCTGTCTGTCTGTCTGTCTGTCTGTCTGTCTGTCTGTCTGTCTGTCATTCATTCATATATACATTCATACATTCATACATACATACATACATATGATTATAATTGTAAAAGATTATAATCTAATATTATAATTAGATCTGCTGCACGTAATTTACAGTAGACCTATGTATATATACACACACACACACACATATATACATACATATACATATACATATATATATATATATATATATATATATACACATACATATATACATATATACACATATATATATATATATATATATATATATACACATACATATATACATATATACACATATATATATATATATATATATATATATATATATATATATATATATATATATATATATATATATATATATATATACACATATATACATACACACATATATATACACATATATACATATATACACAGTGCTTGATCAATTTATATGTGTGATATTTTTCACGATTTGCTGCGAATGAGATCACTTTTTAAGTGAACCGTGAAGTTCGCGTTTATCGCGCACAAACTACTTGTTTACTAGCAGACTTGGGTACAGTTCACGGCCCCTCCGTCTGTGCACACAGAGAATAACTTTAACCATATTCTACCTCTAAGCTTCAAGCATGGCAAAGTTGCTTGAGTCTATGTTATGTGTCTCGTGCCATTCGATTTACATCCAAATTAATTAGCTTAAATCTGAGGTAAACTAAACCGAAAGCCATGCTGCTTTACAAAACAAATAACTTTATATATTGAGAACACACATTATTTTACTTAACTACATGCACACATTTAACACATTTGTAATTATTTTACCAATGATGCAGCAAACAAAGTAAACATTCAAACCACATTAGCATAATCGTACACTTCAGGGAACAGCCAATGCTGCCTGATCACATGAGTCCCAGTGTTATTTTACGCGTCAAAGGGTTTAAAGTGTGTTCTTTTTTCTTTTTAGCGATTCTTTCTTTCTACCACTAAAAGGAAGCCCGCCTACCACTAGTTGTATGCATACCACAGTTTAAGAACCACTGCTCTAGCACACCCAGTTTTTCTCATCACAGTCACAAAGCCATTATAGATCAATACTGGTGGTCACTTTACAGCAGATGTAAGACACAAATTCCAACCACAGTATTGACACATTTAAAAGCACTTCACAGGTTCACATATGCTAAATTATTCGATGCATGCATGCACAACCCCTTTTAGCTCAACACGCAACATTGTTTCAATTGCCATCCTTTAATTTTGTTTAAAAAAAACTCATAAAAAGCCTCATAAAAAAACATTTTTGTTTACCATCTTTAGGTTGGTCCTGAAAGTGTGAATTCTATGTGAACTAGCACAAAATGTATCATTTTGTTTTATTTTTCCCAGCTGAAACCAAGAGAACGATGTGAGCATAACCACAAGTGTAAACACACTCATGAAGTTGTTGTGAATAAAATAAATGTTGCAGGGTTCATATAATTATAAAAACTTAGAAAAAAAAACTAAATAGATTTTGTCTAACTGCACCTAACTTTAAGTTCAACACCGAACTGATTCAAACGACATACTCATAATAGAGAAATAACTCACCCTCCAACAACTCCACTTTCTGATGAATAAGGATCTGGTCAATCTGAAATGTAAAGAAAATACTAGTAACAACATTGAGGACTGCATGATATTTGGTCAAAAATAGATAATGACATTGCACAATTCGAAGAAAACAATGTAACCAGATGACTAGCTCTATTTGGAAAGAATACTTTATCTAAAAGTGCAGTAGGTGATTGTGTAGAGACTTTCAACCAGCACAACTAAAATGTTTCTGAAGACAGTCTAATAGTAATGATTAAAGTAAATGATCTAAATGTGTTTATATGTGTTTTTATATTCTGGGTAAGGCATGAGACTAAAAAATGTTCATCCAATTGAAATTTGTCAGGCTGATAATTCCCATAATTCTGAAAAGTAGCCCAAACTGTCTGTCTGTTTTACAGCAGTAAAAACAAATGCTGAATCAATATTGGAGTGACTTTTGCACGCTGAAGGAAGGACGACACCATGGCTGAAGTGTTTCATTTAGACAGGTAATGTTATGTTTTAAAACTCTTTTAGTCAAGCAAAGCTAATGTTGATTGTGTTGTTTTACGAATGGGTTATATGCAGGAAGTGTTGTTCAGCCACTGAAAACTTCCGGCGAAAGATTTATGTGACTATTTTTAGTTTCATAAGGACCTTTTACAGCATCGATAATGTAGATATTTATTTAGTTTAACAACAAAACATCAGTAAATAGTGCTATTCTGCCTCGTCTACTTTAATAAGATGAAGTTGGTTTTATATTCACATTGATTCATTTTAAACAATGACAGACTGTGACGCGAACTGTGCTAGAGTAGTACAGTTTTTCATTGGGAATTGTAGCAGGGCTCGAAATTAACCTTTTTGCCTGGTAGCACCGGTGCTCCTAACTTAAAAAATTTAGGCGCATCAGCCAAAATTTAGTCGCACCCACCAATTATGAGCACCGTTACTACAAGTTTTATACAAACATATTGATTGTATTTGAAATTAACACTAATCAAACTAACAAGCAAAAAAAAACATATATAACGTTATATGCAAGCGTGAGGAAAATATGTCTCAACAAAATCCCGTTAACACAAGAAAATAGATTTTTATAACATAACTGAGTGACCAAAGCTTACACGGAGCACTCACCGGCCCTGCACGCACTGCTTGAATTAACGTGTTAACGGTATAACTAGTAAGATGTGTCATTATTTGCAACTGTAGATGCCATGGTTTCTAAAACAAAATCTGTCAAGTGTTATGTTATCTTCATTCTCATCTTCAGCGCTTTACAATTTTTCGCGGTAGTAGCTCTCTGTCATCCGAAGCCAGAAGGCACTGAGTGATTGACAGCTGATATTAACCAATCATTCGCGTTCAGTGCTAGAGCAGTGGTGGGCCAATAAGAAGAGCGCAAAGGCAGGGCAAGCATTACGGACTTGGATTTGTTTACTGAAGCAAGTTGACATGACAACTGTTTTAAACCATTTCCTAGCGCTGCGTTTCGCGTTTCAAGTGCAGACAAAAAGCTTAGAGATGCATTCTGCGTGAATGTCTCCCGAATCCGCGCATGTGCTGAACATTTTGCAGTAAAAAGTGGTCGCACACCACAATTTTAAACACTCGTAGAAATGCTCCCAAATATATTTCAAGGTCGCATAGATAAAATTTCGGGCGCATATGCGACCAAAATGGTCGCAATTTCGAGCCCTGTGTAGTATTATAAAAGTACTATGAAGTTTTCTAACTGGCGAATGGCATGATCTAGTGGGTCTCTGTCATCTTTAATGTGCATGTTTTGCAGTTTCAGGAGGTGTGGACAGCAAGAGAGGGATTGTATTTAAAAGATATTATGCTAACTGATAGCATTTAGGCAGATCACCTACTGAACCTACTTGCTTTTGTAGTGGAGGGCATCAGCACAAAAACACAATACATTACTATTTTCAATTGACTTTTTTTTTCTCTCTGAGGTGTCTAAAGTATTTGGGTACAGAAACATGGCGTAGTCTTCCCTGTATAAATTAAATACAAGTAATGTTTGCTAAAACAAAGGTTATGCCTGAATGCTTTAAACTCGCTTGAAATGTTTACACAGTGACAGGCCTTAAAACACATGCAAATACTAAAGTTTCACTCTTTTGATTAAACTTGGCAGTTAATCCACAAATAGTATGCGTTCTGAACTGTGCTGTCTGACCAGCTATCTGAACTCCTGTACAATGAATTGTTTTATCATTTATCGTTTGTACTTAACTAGTAAAAATTCAAAGAAAATCCCACATTTCTCGCTCAGAATTACACAACACTGTGGATGTACACTCTTAAAATTTGGGCTGTAATTTAATGATGTGCATTTTTTGTGAAGCTGCTTTGGAACGATAATTATTGTGTAAAGCGATATACAAGTAAACTTGCATTGAAGCAGGTAACATAAGGTCATTTTAAATCCTGTTAGTTAAATTTTAGTTTTTTGCTTTACATTCCACGCCGTTTACACTTCACCTAATATTAGCAATTGGGCATCATATGTATATACATGTATATTTATAGAACACAGTGTTTGTCTGACTCTACAAAACAAATATATCTACCCATAACATTACAGCATCGCCTCACAATGCACAAATATGGCACTAAAATTAATGCCAAAAAACACAAAATGACTCAAATCTCAATTCTTTTTAAAGAGTATAAAAAAATCCTCTTCCTGGAGACAAATGCTCTCATAAAAACTCTACTATGGTGCCATTCATCTGAGGTAAACAAGTGAATGTGATCTTGGAAAAAAAAAAAAAGACATGGCCCACCTGAGTGAGGTACTCCAGACCCGGTGGTACTCCAGCAGGCACTGCTATTGGTGCAGGTACAGCTGCAGGCACTAGAGACAGTCATGAAAAAAATAACAATATTTCTTATCAATAGTTTTTAGAATACTATGTAAGAGAATACAAGCTTTACCTTTATACAGACTTGCATTGCATTGAATGTGCACATTTAATCAGTTCTTGGTCTTCCCTAGAAATCAAACATTGGCATTGCTAGTACCATCCTTTACTTTTCGTTACTATATACAGGACAAAACCTTACATTGCCTTCATGGTTTTAATGTTCAACGGAATGTGTGGATACAATTAAAGAAGCTAATTTTTTAATGAATCCACACAATTGAAGCAATGCATGTATCTTAGAAATACAAGGTAGCTATTTCACTTATTGATTAGTCAATGTTTAAAGGGATACTCTACCCCAAAATGAAAATTTACTCATGCTTAAGTGGTTCCGAACCTTTACCAAGTAATGCAAAAATATTTATTATAAATAAATAAAAGTATTATTAATATTATTATTATTATTAAATTATTATTCTAAATAAATAACGGAAATTAATTCTAAATGTAACTGGAAAACAATGTAAAGACACAACTGGAGTGATAAGCTAAGATCATTTAGAAAGAAACATTTGCATGAATATTCATTTCATTATAATTAAATTCTCTACACAATTATATAGAATACAAAAAAGAGGTTTTATAGAATAATTTTTTTCCTCGCCACTGTGGCCACTAGCTTGCATGGTTCAGGATCTGCAAAGCTGCGCATCGATGGATTGCTCTTCAGTGTTTGGACTCTCAGTAGTGATTATTAAACCACACTAAACAGAGGTTAAAGGCTGCATCCGAAACCGCATACTTCCATACTATATAGTACGCTAAAATCAGTATGCGAGCCAAGTAGTATGTCTGAATTCATAGAATTTGAAAATCAGTATGCGAGAAGTACCCAGCTGCGCTATCCCATGATGCCCCGTGAGCGAATTCATGAATGGGAGTAAAGTGACGCAACTGATGCAGGTAGGTCACATAACGATGACAAAATGGCGGATGTAGTACGTCCGAATTCCATTCATACTTTTCACAATCATACTGTATAGAACATACTTTTCTATTGGCCGAGTAGAACGTTTAAATTCCTTGGCTTATTAAAGTGTACTTATGCACTTACACACTCAACAGCATAGTATATGTATGTAGTATCGTCCCAAATGGAGCACTAATGTTTTTTCTACTAAGCAGAAATTCAAACCAACGGTTGCCAAATCAGTGACATAAATGATCAAACTATCAAATAATACCTGCCGTGAGTATTACCGCAATCACCATCGGGAGGCACTATAATAACTCTCGAAGGAGAATTTTACTTTCAAAATAAATAAAGTTGTCCAACATGTGCACCCAATAGCTCCGCCCCCTCCGCTACGTGGGCAAACCTGCGGTCGTTGAGTGCATGAAGTGTCCACCACTACACACTTCATTTTACCGGCTGAATGAATGCACCATCTGGGTAATTAAAGTGCACTTATTATTTTAAGAGTTTTCAGTGTGAACGCACTACTCACACTATTTATACTACAAAATGGCATAGAATAGTGCATGCGAATAGTATGCAATTTGGGACGCAGCTCTAGACTTGACAAATGGCAGAGTTTTCTAATCATGGTCCTTTTTGCTTCATGCAAAAGAAATTCATCAGGAGCCATGCTTAGTCTAAATAAGATCACCATCATATTATTAAAACTTAGCCGACACCTCCAAATAAAAGGCTGTTAACGCCGGTTTCACAAAGCATGAACAGCGCATACTTTTTCTCTCCGTATGTACCGGGATTCAAACTGGGAGCAGAGCAGCGTGTCAGCGTCAAGCAGGAGCAATGTTTGAGGTGCGGCAATATGGTTGTCAGAGCAGTTTCCTTTTTGAGTAAACTACATTGCTTTCACCAGTGTTGGTTCGGTTGCACACAGAGAATAACGTCTTAATTTGGGATTACCACTTAAACTATATACCACTTAAACTATTCCAATAAAGCATTTAAATTTGAGCACAAAATTCTTATTTCTATTATATTTGATGCATAAATGAATAATTAGATTGATTCTTGAGTGTTAAGCTGGTGCAGTTAAGCTTCTATGTTTGTTTTCTGATCAATGTATATATGTAAATAAATGCCTCAAATAATTAACTCTTTTGATTATATAAATTGATTCCATCTCTGCAGTGGACTATTCCAGATCCAATTAATATAGATTTATTGTTTACAAATGTTTTGGTTGAAGTCTTCGTTCTATAATTAGTGGAATAAAACAAAATGTCTAAAAATGACAATAATATCATGTATCGCAATAAAATCTGTGACAGTATATCCACAAAAATTATTTATCTTGAAAGTCTTGTAGATTTGGAATGACATTGGGATGTCTAAATGATGACAAAGTGAAATTTAGAGAGTAAATGAACCATTTAAAATATAGTATATAGGTTTACCTCCGTACGGTTGACCCGGCTGAGGTCCTGGACTAACTGGACCAGGCTGATACATGATTGGCTGATCTGGAACTGGTTGGTACCCTACTTGGAATCCTGCTGGTGGTGCATTTTGCCCAGGATCTCCATAACCTCCCATTGGATAGGGTGGCATGGAGTGTCCACCCGGCTGTGACATGGGATATGGAGGCTGGTTTGGAGATGGGTAGCCTGGAAAAACACAATTAAAATACAAAGAAAGATAAAAATGTATTAGCATATTGATTCTTTAGCTAAAATTCAATCTAAAATGGAATTCTAAAATACCATTTCTGATCTTGACATTTTGTCTAGTTGTTTGTTAGACTGAAACAGCTGCAAGAAACATGGTTTGTGCCACGTTAACTCATTAACAGGAACTTTTTAGTGAAGATTATAGAGAGGTTATTTGGTTTTGTATACATTTTCCAGTCACAAACTGATTTGTGAACGCACCAATTAGATATGTACCGTTTAATTCAAGCTGTCTGTGAAAATCATACCATTAAGCCTCAACACTGGGATTTGAGTTGGTATACAGTGGATTGTGAAATTACTGGAAAAACTGACCAGTCCAGTTTTAAATAATACATATGCAAATATTATTATATGCAAACATGTATGATGTGTGCATGTGTGTTAGGGAAAGAGATCTCAGCATTGAGATGGTTCATGCTGGTCTCTTGTGTTCAGTGGAATGGATCTATTTTAGACGGCAGCAAACATGTGAGGCATTCTTATTTAAAAATGCATAGAAATAGCCACCACTAACAGAAGGGTTCATAAATAATTCATTGTAACAATATTGACTATTTACAGCAGTTATCAATGAGAAAAATCAGTAACAACGCATGCAACTGTAAATATTATTTGATGTACATTTCTAATTTATGCTAAATTGCATTTATCGATATATTAAAAGGTTTTTTATATTTAAATTATTTATTTATTTTCTTTTCAGCTTAGTTCTTTTATTAATCTGGGGTTGCCACAGTGGAATGAACCGCCAATTTATTCAGCATATGTTTTATGCAGCGGATGCCCTTTCAGCTGCAACCCATCACTGGGAAACACCCATACAATTATTCACACATACACTACGAAAAATTTAGCTCACCCAATTTACCTATAGCATGTCTTTAAACTTGTGGAGGAAACCGTAGCACCGTAGCATTGGGGAAAACCCAATAGTTAAATTATATAGGTTATAAATTAAGTATATATATTTTTATATTATTTTATTTATTTTTTTAAAGTGCAGTAGGTGATCTACCAATAATCGGTTAGCAATAGCATTTTAGCTTTGGATCAAAACCACGCCTCCTGAAATCGCGAATGGGCCCACCACCACACGACAGCTGACAACCCACTAGTTCATGTGTCATTCGCCAGTTAGAAGTGCATGTAGTGGTTGCCCTGGCGGCGTGCAGGAATTTAACTTATTATTGTGCATTGCACTTATGGGGGATATGCGTGAACAGAAATGTGCAAAAGCCCAAATCTGCATTTGTTGACAGACAGTTTGGGCTACTTATCGGAATTATGGGAGATGTCTGCCCAAAAATATTTAATTGGATGAACATTTTTTAGTGTTATGCCTTACCCAGAACATAAAAATACATATAAACACATTCAGATCATTTACTTTAATCATTACTAGTGTACTGTGAAGAGACATTTAACCAGCACAAAAAAAATGTTTCTGAAGACGATCACTGACTGCACTTTTAACTACCTTATTAGCATTTTGGAGCTGCACAATGATCTTTAAATCTTTTAATATTTCATCAAATTATATTGTTTTTAAATATGCCATGGTAAAAGTTTTGACTTTATCACAATTATTTACATGTTTGAATTTAGGAATTAATAAAAAAAAAAGATTAAATGATTGTGACAGCATTAAGAAAAGGAATTCTGTTTTTTGTTTTTAAACCTTCTGATTATAAAATCCCAAAAACAAAAACAATTCCTCAGACATATTAAGCAGTAAAACCTTTTTTAACACTGATAAAAAGTTAAAGCACCAAATCAGCATAAAAGAATGACTTTTGAAGGACCGTGAGAAAGGTCACGAAACCTGTGGTGAAAACACAGTGGGTGTAGCATAATATTTGACACATCTAATCCTCCCATTGTATATCCTGAACTGCAATTCTCAAATGAAAAGATCAGATTTTTTTACTTTTCAGATCATTATCCAGGCTTTTTACAAAAAATAGGAACACATTTGAATGGGATAAAGCTCTGACCTCAGGCTTTTCATCCAGGTGCTGCCTGTTTATACAACGTTGTTTGAATGTTTGCAGGATTTCTTTACAGAATTCGAAAAGCACCTGCATTGAAAGTTTTCTATTATAAAGCTTCAAATACTAATCCGTATCCTAATCACAATGATAAGCATGAGTGAGGGTCTGTGAACAAGAGTACCTCCAAAATCATTACATGTGCAAAATAATGATCAGTCATTATTATATTTCCTGCCTAACGCAAAAAAATGCTTGTCTATTCAAGACTGACCGCCGTGAGGCACAGAAACAACAGTGCCTTTCATTGCCAACAGAGAGAAGACCCTATCGTGCATCAACACGCCCGAGGTCCACAAAACAAGTGTCTGGAATTTTGCTCGAGGAAAAAAAGTGCTCATTTCTCAACGAAATCTAAAATACATTTTAATATGCAGTTAAAAAAATGACAAATTTTTGAATAAAAATAAAAATCTATGAATTAACAAATTACTAGTAGTGTCCAAAAGTGCCTAGTAACTGCGGTAATTTGGCTCACAGCATTCATCACAAATTGCTTGTTAGTGTAGTTATGTAGGGCTGCTATTTGGGGATATGTTTTGGCAAGCCAATCACATGCACATGCACATTGTCATTCATTCATTTTCCTTCAGCTCAGTTCCTTTATTAATCAAGGGTCGCCACTGTGGAACGAACCACCCACTTATCCAGCATATTTTTTTTACACAGCGGATGCCCTTCCAGCTGGAACCCAGTACTGGGAAACACCCATACACACTTACATTCACACACATACACTACGGCCAATTTAGTTTATTCAATTCACCTATAGCACAAGTCTTTGGACTGTGGAGGAAACCCACGTGAACATGAGGAGAACATGCAAACTACAAACGAAAATGCCAACTGACCCAGCTGAGACTTGAACCAGCAACCTTCTTGCTGTGAAGCGACAGTGCCAACCACTGAACCACCATGCTGCCCATATGCACAATGTATTTTTTATTATTCGCTTCTTGTGTTTCAAAGTTATATCTGGTGAATAAATATCCCCTGATGCTTTCCCTGGCGTCTGGTAGACCAAGTGAGCTCACATTGTATTCAGACACTCGATCAATGCTAATTTGATTCTCAAGACCCGCCACATGGAATTGCAACCCGTTTCCATCATGTTATCTTTCTATTCATGGTCACGTGCATCTCTGGAGCAAAAGCATTAAGCTAAGTGCTGGGAAGAACACTCAAATCTTCCTTCAGTCTTGGTCATTGAAAAGTCATCCATAATTCCTACAGACATGCACTACCACACTTGATTTAAAAGAGTTCATTTGGATTTTCTCACAGTTGTAGATGTTCAGAGTAGTAAATCATTAGAAAATCTACATAGCATGCGATTCATGTCACTTCTTCTAAAAATATTTTTAAAAAGCAACATGGCGAAAAGTAGAAGAAATACGTTTATGTGGAACGCAAACCAAGTCAATCATTAAAACAGACTTCCCACATAGAACCAATGAATAATTCATGACCTTCTATTGGCATTTCACTTTGGTGAATATGCTTGTAATGGACAGTCTCATCTTGTCATTCCAGTTTTTCTGGCTAGTTATATAAACATTGCTGGGTCTGAGTCATTCCCCAAAACAAAAGGATGGGGCAAGCCCTTTTGCAACAGAAAGGATTTTTATTGAGTCATGCATTTAATAAACCACTTACACAGGAACTTACCCAATACATTTGATCCACACACCCAACGTGGACTACATACTTTCAGTCTGCTATGTGAGAGATAGACGGAATTCTGTTAAAAACACAGTTGTTCCAAAGAATATCCCTAATGGGGTTAAGGAATCACTTGACTGCCAATTTAGCAGCAAAATGCAGTCTGGTTTGGATGGGATAGACATTTTTTTTAATAGTAAGAAAGTTTAAAATGATAGCAGAACACCAATATCTGCTTTGAGGCACACTTGATCTCAGTTTTTCATGTATCAGTTCTGTAGACCTAAACTCCGATCTTAAAACTGTGGAAACTTATAAATGTGGAACACAGCCACTTTTATAGGCTTGACTTCCTGCATTCCTCTCCCACGGACCTCCAGGATAAATGTTTCCACCAGAAAACACACCTTCATTTCAACAGGCATGAAGCTGCACAAATTGCACTTGAGAGGAAAAATGTAAATAGAGCGTGTGGATGGTTTTCAGCACAGTGAACTGTAAACTTTATGAATTTATGAATGAGTTCATGCAAGCGGATAAGCTGGGCAACTAGTGCAAAACTCACTGGCTGTTTAAGTTAATGTATTCTGCAATTCCAGTAAGTAATAAAAACATGCATTTCTATTAAAAGAATTGATAAATAAGTGACATTGTCATTACCTGGTCCAGACATGTTGAAGGTAGATCTTTGACTTTCAGATCCAATGTCTGTCTATCAGCACCACGATCACTATGTGGGCGAAAACATTAAAAAAAGTTTAGTTTGTGCAGTAGAAAAACAGCAGAGCCAGTTTAGACTGAACTTCAATTGAACAGATAAGTCTTTGTTCAGTCAATACTATAATAACAATACTAATAAGAACAACAATGATTGCGGTGGAGCAGTGGGTAGTGCTGTTGGCTCACAGCAAGAAGGTCACTAGTTTGAGCCTTGGCTGGGTCAGTTGGCATTTCTGTGTGGAGTTTGCATGTTCTCCCTTTGTTCACGAGGGTTTCCTCCGGGTGCTTCGGTTTCTCCCACAGTGCAAAAAAAACATGTGGTATAGGTGAATTGGGTAAGCTAAATTGTCCATATTTTAGGTGTGTGAATGTGAAAGTGTATGGATGTTTCCCAGTGATGGGTTGCAGCTGGTTGGGCATAAGCTGCGTAAAACATATGCTAAATAAGTTGGTGGTTCATTGTGCTATGCGACCCCATATTAATAAAGGGACTAAGCCAAAAAGAAATTTCAGCTTTTACACTTTTTGTTACTATAAATATTTTGTAATGTGGTAATTAAACAAGTCACAAAGAAAATTTAGCAAATTACGTAATGATGAAGAAAATTTACATTTGTAAATATAATATTTATCCATTAAATATATAAATAGCCTATAAATTCTATGTTACGTCTTTCATGAGAAAAGTAACAAATTATATCACACAGAAAAATCTATGTTAAACTTACATTTTGATGGTAAAAAAAAACTATAAATCACTTTAACAACTGGGCATTTGACAAAAACATGATTTGATCCTTGAGTTACAAAAGACACAATTTGAACTAGTATAATCAAATTTAGATACAATCTCATTTGTGGGGTAGATATTGTGTAGCACTTTCAAGTGGAATTCTTTAACTTTGTTGGAACACAGAATTTGTAAGGTAAGAGCCAACTTTTTTTTCCCCAATTAATTTTATCTATTAGAGAATTACAAAGAAATTTTCCCACCGGGGTGATACTTTTCTTTGACTGAAACACATTTCTTATATTTTTAATACTTCATTTTAGGTTGTAAATGTTTGTTTGATGGTGTTTTTTTTAATTATTTTAATTTACATTTGCTCAAGAATACAGGTGTGAAGAACAACTGTAATGAACAAAGAGCCAGGAGTTGGGAATAATGCCAAACAACCTATCAGTAGTGAGTACATCCAAAAGAGAGAAAATAAATAAATGAATAAATCAATTAAATAATACATGAATTGCAAAGTATACTAGATCAAGTATAAGAAAAAGCCAAGGAATCTCACAGTGTAAATAGCATCAATACAAATTACATAAAAACATTTTAAAAAATAAGTTTTAGTTGCCTTTTGCTACAAGAGGTAGAGAGAGAGACTTATTATAATTCTTGATGTCTATTTAAAAATGAGAAAAATGAGGGGAGATATTTATAACCTTGCATTTGTAAATGAAATACTTTACTAGCATGATTATTAAGTTGCAAAGAAATAAACATTTTCATATTGCTTCTCAAAGGAAAAAAAGTCTTTAAAGCAAAGCTCAAAATCACCATATAGGAAATTAATAATAAACTGGCAGATATCTCACCAAGCTTTCCGTGTATGGATACATGGCAAAAAGAGGCATGTTTGATGGTGAATAACATATTGAAGCAATAACGACATGACGTTATACGAAGTGGGTGTGGCAACAGTTAGTGCTGCTTATCGTGAGAGGTCAAGTAGCATACACTGTTTTTCTCCCTTACAAAGACAACAACAAATATAGTAGCACATTCACTAACCAATAATAATCATAAAACACATCAGAAGAGTTGAAGTAAAAAATTACAAAGCAATCCTTACTGAAATGTTTCACAAAAAAAGCAATAAAAGTAATTAAGATGTTCGGTTTACCTGTCGTGTAAAATGTATCATACAAATACACCCCAAACCGTAAACATACAATGTTTAGCCTAGATTTCGAAAATGAAACAGTCTACCATGCAAACTCCCACTTACATCTCTGCCAAACAGGGTTGATACTCCACAAGCAAACCTCGGGCACCAAACTCTCCTGCACTTCCTTGTAGGTGCTGTGATTGTTCGTAAATGAGAAAAAAAGAGAGCTTTAAATCGTTTCTTCGCTTTACTCTTTGGCCAAAAACGAGTGTGTTTGCAGCGTTTTAACACTACGCCCAAGCGCGAAGCAGTCTCCTTTTTTTCTCTATGAATCAATCTCCTCCCCCTTTATGACGCAGATTAGATTGAAACATTAAGAAAGCCACAAGACTTCTATTAAGCAATAAGGTTAACATTTAAAGGAGAAACGAATATGTTACACTTTTTGGTAACAAAAACAAAAATTGGGAAGCACTTGGGCATGTTTCGAAACATTTAAGCCACACCATATGATTTTAAATGCAGTCATCAGCTTGCGCAGCTTAAACTCGTTTCCTTGAACTTAAAACCACGCGTGAACACAACATCATAAATAGCCTGCTCCTCCAATCTGAGGCTCATATACACAACTAAATCCTTAACTCACTGTAAATATTGTTTTACACAAATGCTGCAACGCCATATGATCAAATACATGCGAATCGTTGATTCACTTGGCAAGTTGTGAAAACTGTCGATGTTTAGGAAGTTTTAACGCCTCGTTTATCTTTTTCAACTATGGAAAGGAGTTTCAATCTTCCATGTTAACATTCAATCTTATTTAAGTGTCTGTTTTATGAATAAACATTAGTATACTTATAAGCTATGCTAAGTTTTTATGATCAGGGATGAGTAGCAAATAAGTAGGCATATACTACCAAGTATTGAATGATTACTAAGTGCAAATAGTCTATAATAATAGTTACAAGTCACAATTCAAAAGCATGCCAGTGAAATCTGATTATCTGAATGACAGATCCACAAAGAAGTCAGTCAACAATTTTAAATGTAGTAAATAAAATAGTTATAGTCAGTATTGAAATATGTACTATAGTATGTCCTGCTGTATTTGTTTGTAGTAGATGTAGTTAATAACACTCTCAGAAATAAAGGTATATGCAATCTGACACTGGGGTGGTACTCTTTTTAAAAGGTACAATTTTGTACCCTAAAGGTCCATATTAATACTCCAAGGGTGCATATTAGTATACATAAAAAGTGTTTGTCTTAAAATTTTAGGTACTAATATGTACTTTTAAGGTTTCAATATGAACCCTTTAACAACAAACGTGTACCTTTTGTAAAGGTACCACCCCAGTGACACCTCAGATTTCTGAGAGTGTATAATAATAAGCAGTGCAAGTAGCTTATGAATATGTAGTCTACAGGTATCTAATGATTAGTTTTAGTGCTTCATAAAAAGTGCTAGCATCTATCATTAAAATGAAGCGTTATAGTGCCCAAATAATAAGTGTTAAAAGCTAGAGAAAAGTGCCTTTAGTGAAAACAAATAGGCTTAATACTTCTTTGATAGAAGTTAAGCCACTGGCCATAAATGAAAAAAGCTTTTAAAAGTTATATATTTTTAAATTAAAATAACATAATAGATGTATACTGTAAATCAATATTTGATGTCAAGAATAAATAATGCAGTCATGTGCCCCATACATGACCAATAATATAAGTAATAAATTATAATATGTGTGTGTGTGTGTGTGTGTGTGTGTGTGTGTGTGTGTGTGTGTGTGTGTATTAGCATGCATGCATGTTGAAGAGGGAACTGAAGACAATTAAGCACTATCCGAAGATACTCAAGTATAACACATCCAGGTTTGTTGTTGTTATAGCACCATCTTGTGGCACTTAATACTCTAGCCGCTATATTGGCTTTATTTGGCACGTTTTGTTAGTTCCTGTTTGAAACATTTATTTTCGAGGTTTTAATCCAAATACTTTTTAAGTATTCTCCCAGTAAAGATGTTCAACAGAGCAAGGCACATTTTCACAGTATTTCCTATAATATTTTCCTTCTGGATAAAATCTTTTTCTTTTAGAAATTAAAATATATTTATTCATTCATTTTCTTTTCAGCTTAGGTCGCTTTATTAATCCGGGGTCGCCACAGCGGAATGTACCGCCAACTTATTCAGCATATGTTTTAGAATGCTCCTCCAGCTACAACCCATCAGTGGGAAACATCCATACTCTCTCGTTCACTACAGACAATTTAGGTTACCCAATTCACCTGTACCGCATGTCTTTGGACTGTGAGGGAAACCGGAGCACGTAAACCCATGCGAACAGGGTAAGACCTCACAGAACTCCACACAGAAATGCCAACTGACTGACCCATACCTTCTTGCAGTGAGGTGATCTTACCACCTACTGCACCACTGTAACATCTTTAAAATATATAGTTATTAAAATGTGTAAATATATTTTTAAAATTTAAATATTTTTATCCCCCTAAGCTTATGTTTCAAATGGCTACTGTTTTCCTATAATTTGTCCGAATTAACCTAAATTTCATATCAGAATCAGAAAGAGCTTTATTGCCATGTATGTTCGCACATACGAGGAATTTGTTTTCGTGACAGAGCTCACTGCATCTTTGAGGATGTGCCTTTTTGGAAATCCCTATGGGGAATTATGTTTTGTTCTCATGCTACTCAATGTTCTGCGGGTGTTTGTACACTCAAAAATTAATTTACTGGAAAACTTCCTCTTGTAGACTTTGATAATAATAGACAATAGATATGTCATATTGCTCAAATTCAGAACTTTAATTTTAATAATACATTGTTTGCAAACAACACCACTCATAAATTGATTTCAATATGCTACAGCTTTTGGTTTTGATGCAACATTCTTCTGGAAAAAGAGCTTTTATTGATCTGTTGTTATTCTTACAACTATAGGAAAAGCATATTTACCTATGAGAGAGTCACTGGGTGAAAATTGTGGTAATGGCTGATAATTTAATCTGTTTTTATGTTTATACAACATACATATTTTAGGAGAGATTGTGCCAAAAACCGTTGTAAAATCCTTTGATGGTATGAGAAAATTATATTTTGTTAAGAATTTCTTCATATATGAATAGAAGACCACCTGAATTAAATAATTGGTTTACCAATACAAAGTTATTTCGATACCGGTTATCAAGAAAATTATAAAAAAATTTGTGTTTCACATTCTATGCTAAAAAAGCTCGACGGTGAAATGACAAAAATTTTACAGGTATTTTGTTAATATCAAAATTACAAGTAAGAAAAAAAATGCCACCTAAACTAGATAAAATATGAAGGGGAATCATATTCTAAATAGAGGTTGGATATTAAACAAGTTGTCTAATCCAGTTTATTTTAAATATATTGTTTAGTAGAGACAAGTCTAGAAAACCTCTAAACAGTATTCCCAAGGGCTTAATGTATTGTCCTGTCCCATTATGAAAAACTGACTTCAGGTAGTTTTTCACTCACATAAAACATTACAAAAATTAAGGCTCATGTATGTCATGCTTAACACTAACAGTCACCATTTTTAGTACTTTTTTTTTTTTTAAAGGGCTAAACCTTATCTATTTTAAATGCATTTATCATGTTTAATTTACAAGTAGGGCTGGGCGATTTGACCTAAAATCTAAATCTCGGTTAACTGAAAATTTTTGCTCGATTGCGATTAATAGACGATTATTTGATTTATGTATTTTATGTTGTTGCCCTCATAGTTCACTGATATTTTTTGTATGCTCATATATTACAAGTGAGAGAGTTTTAAACGTAGGGCGGATTACTTGATTTTAAAATAGCTAAGGGAAACACACACTATCTATTATCTATGATTATTTATTGAACATCAACGCTGAACAAATGAAATTAAAACACATTGCCTAAAACGTGGCTCTCTGCATCGTCATCACCGCTTACAAACCAACCAATCACAAAGCTTGCACTACATGTTGTTGTAACGTATAAGTAAATTTTTTTGAGCGGTTTGCAGGTATGCGAAGGCTGCGCCGGACTATAATGGCAGAAGTATAATACCGTTATAAAAATATAATAAGTATAAATCATAATATAATCAGTGTAATTCAGCCTTAACAAAGTGGGGTCACATGACTGCACACAAGGTAGGGAAGTAATAAAAAAAATTGACCTAAAAAATGTGATCAATTATAGGTTCTGGATGTCCATTTTGATTACTTTTCGATTTACTTTTAATTTACTTTTAATCGCCCAGCCCTATTTACAATTGTGAATTGAAAAAATGGAGTAAGAGTTACGGGGTTGAAAAAGTGGTTAATAGATTCAATATAGTCCTGTTTTTTTCTGCTTTACCAGTTTGAAATCTTTATGGGGTATGAGGTTGTTATGGTATTGATTAAATAATTAAATAGGCAAAAGTGCTGTGGTTTAATTATATTGATGTTATTGGTAGATTGTTTGTGATGTTATCTGAAAGTAGCATTATGTACGAGAGATCTTCTGCTGATCTGTGGATACTCATTAGTATGATGACTTGATTTGGCATGCTAACAGATATATAGGAGTATACGTTTGATTCTTTATTCATTATCTTTAGGGTGACAATTTTACTATCTGTAAAAAATCCTTGTGGTTAATTCTGGCTACACTGTAAAAATGCTGGGTTCCACACCACAGATTTTTGTTGGGACAACATGAAG